TACAGGTTCTAGCCAATGGTGTGGTTCTGTTCAGCGACAATGGAATCATGGGAACTCCAAATCTGAAAGCAGCACACATTGGGAATCAAGGGATCCTGGCTCCCTTGTGGACAGATAACAAAGGTTACGGGGTTGGAGAAGTATTCTACCATCTGTATGAGAACTGTAACTCAACAGTTTTCTTAGAACCTTCCACTCATAGCACGCCAGCGCCCAAAAGGTCAGAGGTTGTGACCAGAGCTGTGAGGGACATCAAGAAGTATTTTAAACTTGCAGATTTTCAAGTTGGTACAGTTCTAGTGGCAACCTGGCAAGCTGTTCAACCAAAGGTATGGTATGCTTCTAATTTAGACACTTCACTTGTTCAGTTTCAGAGATACAGTAACTACCAAATAGGGGAACTAATAATGATAGTTGTTTAATAGGGGAACTAAAAACAGTAACTATCCTATAGGGGAACTAATAATAGTTTCTTCCAAACGGAAAGGGGGGGGGGGGGGGGGGGGGGGGGGGTCTAACAATAGCAACTAGCTAATAGAAAAATTGAATGCATCAGTTGTCCAATAAGGGAACACCTGTTAACTGCCCAGTAGGTAACTAACAACAGTAACTGTCCAATAGGGGAACTAATAAAAGTTATTGCCCAATAAGAGAACAAATAACAATAACTTCTTATTAATGGAACTAATGACAGCAGGAGAAAAAACACTAACTGTCCAGTAAGACAACTAATAACAACTGTCTAACAATGAAACTAATAACAGTAACTGTCCAAAAATGAAAATAATCACAGTAACTGCCTTAATTTGGAAACTAATGACAGTAACTGTCCAAAAATGAAAATAATCACAGTAACTGCCTTAATTTGGAAACTAATGACAGTAACTACCTAATAAGGGAATTAATGACAGCAACTGTCTAATAGGGGAAACTATTAAATGACAGCAACTGTCTAATAGGGAGGAAACTAATAAATGGAACCAATGACAGCAACTGTCTAAAGGGGGGGGGGGGGGGGGGGGGGGGGGGGGGGGGGGGGGGGGGGGGGGGGGGGGGTGTGGGGGGGGGGGGGGGGGGGGGGGTCTACTACCCCTGTAACTTAAATAATATTAACAGTAATTACCCAGTACAGAAAATAAAAATAGCAGCTGCCTAATAAGGCAACTGACCAGCAGTGGAATCAAAGCCAACGCCTAAAACTTCAAACATGAAGATGGAGATGGAGACAATCACTGCAGTTCTAATGTGGGTAGCAGAAAATAAGGTTACCCAAAGAATTATTGTTTTGGATTCTCAGTCCGCATTGCGGAAGCTTAAACATTGACTAATGTGGCATGAGTGAATACCATGCATCTGTACGCCAACATTGCAGGAATCATATAGATATACTGTCCGGGACATGCGGGATTGCCAGAGAATGAAAGCGGATTTTATGGCTACAAAATTTACAGCTACATGAACACTCATACTGGACAATGGATGTATTTTGAAAACCATTTGTGAACAGATTTTGATAGAAGACACACAATTAGGTAAAATTACATGTGTAAGAATATGTGAATGAGTTATTGGTAGTGGATCCAGCAGGGACAGGCGTATGCCTGGTGTGCTTTGACTTTGATTCATAAATAATTAATAAATAAATTCCTAAAAATATAAGTCTCAGAGTAAATATTTAATCTCAGAAGGCATCTTCCACGTTGAAAACCTGGTTGTTCCTTTCTCAGGATTTTGTCTGCTACCCATTTAATTCTATTGAAAATAATTTTATAAAAAGTTTTTGACATTACTGATAACAGAGTAATTCCTGCCCAATTGTTGCAGTCAGTAAGATTACCATTAACACATTGCATGCGTGCAACGTTTAATTTGTAATTCATTCTTTCTTTCCACATCTATTTTCCATGTGAAGTCCTGAGATTATACACACATTCACTCACCTAGATGGGGATGCAGGTTACTTCATAACCACAGGGTGCTCAAATGTAACTGTATTTTATGGTTAATCAGGGTTTCTGTGATTTGTGCTGTGAGATTCACAGGCAAATAGTGACCCTTTTAGTCACCCAGTGTCAATCTTTCAGGCTGTAATCCTGTAGGGCATCAGTTCTCAACCCATGGGTTGTGACCCGGGGGGGGGGAGGGGGGGGGGGGTCAAACGACCCTTTCACAGGGGTTGCCTCAGACCATCAGAAAACACATATTCGTTACAATATAAGTTACAAATTAGCAGTAAAAATAATTTTAATGATTAGAGGTCACCACAACATGAGGAACTGTTTGAAAGGATCGCAGCATTATGAAAGTTGAGAACCACTACTGTAAGGAAACAAGTGTTTTCTCATTAGATATTACCTCATCTGCAATGTCACCTTGGTTTGGTCACTATCCTACAGACAACATTAACTACTGGCAAATTGTACCAAAATCAGCCAGGTGATTCCTGTGGCTTGGTGTCCAGTATTGGTCTAGGGCCACTAGGATGCCAGGGCAAGGTTTCTAGGAACCAACATAAAAACAAACAAATCCAATTAAAGGCTTGCGTTTGCAGGACTGCAGAAGTCATTGAAGTCAGAATATATGGTGATATGTTCTGTTTTGTGTTGCTAATGCAAATACTTTTAAGCAGGCATTATTGATTATTGTCTTGTGTGCATTTCAAAGTAAGAAAACCTATTCGTAACAAAAAAACACCCAGCAGGACTTCGTAACCATTTGGTACCCCAATGTAACTGTGTAATACAATTTAACAGGGTTTCTAGGATTTGTACCTGTTTGATTCCCATCCATTTTGTGACTCTTTGAGTCAGTGGGTTTCAGTCTTCGGCAGCAATTCAAGAGGTGACAAAAATGTTTTAAAATATTATGAAGTTTTTGTGTATTAGCGGGTGGTAAAAGGTTAGGATCAGCCATACCATAGCACACTACTGAGAGGATGAACCCACAGGCAACGTTTAACAATAATTCAGTGGTCCCCTATTGGTCAAGTAACCAGTTAACCTCTGGGTCACTGGGATACCTAGCTGGCATTATGGGCATTGACTGGCCTGATAGAGAAAAAACAACAATAAACATGTGCCAGGTTGGTCGCTGACATATCTGATGTTTTTCTATACCCACAGGGCTGCCAGGCTAAAACCAGCAACACATTCCAAGCAGTTCTAGTCACTGGACATGTCCCTGGCACAGTTCAAACTGACATGACAGGTTTGCTGTACCTTTGTTTTTTGAATTTTTTAACTGCTTGGTTTCTCTCATATCATTTTGTGTTGATATAACAAAGTAGATGAAGATATATTGGGTACAACCGTAGCAGAAGCAGACAATCAATAAATGCACTGGAATTGAAACTCTTCTTCTTGTTTTGCCGACTGTAAACTCTAGCGGAAATTTCCTGTTGTTCCTCCACTTCTGGATTTTAGTCTTGTTCAAGAATTTTAGTTTTGCTTCCATATCCCTTTGTGTGTTTGTGTGTGTGACAAATCTGTCTTATTTTTATGCAGACTGTTGGTTTATTGTCTCTTAGGCAGATGCGCTCCGACTTCAAATGAAATCCCAAATTAGTCGACTCTTATGACATGCTTGTTAGGGAGGCAGTGGGTCTGTTTTTGTTCCCTGTAATGAGGCCCTGGAACCCACACAGGAAAATGGAAACAAATGTGGTGAAGGAATGAGGGTCCCTAAGTGATGAAAACTGATGAGTGCAGCCCAAGGTGCCCAGCTGGATTCCATCCAGGATGAAGTGTGACATAGAGGAATAGAATGAGCTGTGTATGACGTTTCAACGGTGCAGCATGATGATGACGAATCCTCCCAGCTGGCCATGTGTTTTTTCCAGGTCTTGTAAAATAAAATAAAAAAGGCAAAGAAAGTAACACTTCAGCCTGCCTGGCATTTCGCAGGAGGTGACTAAGGGTAGAGTTGTACAGAAGTGGGTTATTTCATCCTATTGGAAACGTCAGTTGCACAGGCCACTCAAGTCTAAATGTCAGATAAATAAGAGGAAGAGGACATAGAGGGAGGTCCATGCAATGGCAAATGATAGGACGGTTTTGTCTTTGTTGGTTGAGAACATATGCTTCAGACAGGGCATACATGCCGGAAACGGTTCTATGAAGAGTATAAGTTCCTGTTTCGGTCACATTGTTTCAAACACAAAGAATAGGAAAAAATATGAACATGATTATAAAAATTATGCCACCACCATACTAGAGGTTAGCTGCAGTAGATAATTTTTTTGTACTGCCATTTTGGAGAACATTACATGGTGAACCCTTGATTTTTCAGTGGTATGACTCTCATGCCACCGCTCATAGGCTAAAGAAGAGATTGTTTTCTAAACTGCCAGCCAAGGAAAGGAAACTCTAAGTGTCAGCACAAAAACTGATAGCGGGCTGTTTCTGGACAGCTTATGTGGAGAGGAATGATCACCCGAACCATTCGGCAAGGTGTGTGATGATTAGTGATTAGTGATTAGAAAGGATTATCATCACAGCACTCCGGACAGATCCATAGGTGCTCCGATCTCCTCCTCAAAAGCTCCACAAGTGTAAAACGACTGATGACGTCTGTTCTATGTTGGTTAGTGAAACGTCTTGTCCTCTTAGTGAAATGTTCATTTCTTGCAGCTCCAGGCTGCACCCCCATGTCCATCAGTCTAGACAGGGATATGGAGTCATGTCCTTTGGCGTGCTCCTCGGTACGGTAAGTGCAGCACATGGCATTGATAACATCACTTCTGTCCAGTTCTGTGCCAGCCATAGCAACCGCAGTGTCAGCAAGATAGTCTGCACATTCGTTCCCTTGAACACCCGCATGACCTGGCACAAAGATGAAGGTTAGGGCAGATATTCGTGAAGTGCTTAGTGTGTGTTGATAATGAACCAAACTTCATTGTCTTTATCCAGAGAGATAATAAGCAATAGAATTCGGTTTTTTGGGAAAAAACAATGTGTAAAATGTTCACACATTTCTACTTTGTTCTTTTTATAGCTGAAGAGAAATCATACGCGATCTACATTTACAAAGATGGAGTCGGCGCATGCCAGCCTGGCCAGCCATTTGAGGTGGGATTCTCCACAGACAGTGGGATCAAGAATGTGCAGTTTGACACAAAGACAGTAAACTTGGCCACTGTGAAAGGAAATACTGGTATGTATATTATGATTACATCAGTTCTAAAATAACAATGAGTTTCGATAGAAACTCCCCCTTTGGGTTCCGGGGCTACATTGTGGGGGAAAACAAGAATAGACCCAATTTCTGCCTGAAAGCATGTCGTACGAATCAATTTTTTCGGAGCTTCCTTCGAAGTCAGAGTACACCTACCTGAGAGGCAAGGGCCCGGCAGTCTGTATGCAACTAAGTCAGACCTGTAAAGCGGAGGTGCATCCAATACTCATTTTCTGGAACAGGACCAGAGTCCAGAAGTGGATGAACAACCAGAAATTTCTGCCTGAGTTTACAGCTGGTGAACATGAAGAAAAATAAGGATAGAAACAGCAAAAACATATGTAGCAAAAAAATATGTCTTCTCTTGATTCTAAAACTCGTGTTAGAGTCTAGTGAAAGAAAAGCTAACTCTTTAATTTTTAGCCAGTAGATGTGGTTTATTTTATTCTTTCCCAGAAAGTTTTTACTTCAACAATGTTTAAGTCAAAATGAGTTAAAATAATAACACTGAAAGAGTATGGGTTAAAGTAACAAATGGGGCAGTGTGGGTTAATGTAACAAGTGGATGTAGGATATGTAGTTAGGACAAATATATAGTACAGTGATACCTAGTGAGTCACCCAGCTAACAAATTTTTCGGCCTCAGCTAACAAAAATTTGGATTTTGCTAATGAATTTTTTAATGGATATGTATTTGTACCATAATATTTTGGCTAGCAAAGGTTTCAGATTGTGATTTTAGGTGATAATTCACTAGTCATCCTTATGTGAGATGCAATTTTTCGTTATTTTGAAGCCCTACCCTGACTCTTGCCAGGAGCCGTAATATAGCCCGGCTATAAATATGGTCTAATTCCTAAATGCGGTTTCCTGGACCTTTCCACGGGTGATCCTCATCCACATGGTGGCACTTTGAGTAATTGGGTGTTTATCGCTTGTGTGATGTCCTGGTGGGGTAGAAAGTCAGTTAGTGATTTCGGGATGAATTATCTAAGTTAGCTGATTTATCACTGTATGTCTTCTTCTGCTTCTTTCTTTTGCCCAAAATAGATTATCAATATTTGCAGTGTTGTCTCTAGTGTGAATTTCACTCTCTTTTGTCACTCACTCAGTGACCCATAAAGTTTGGCTTTAACCGGTGTTACTCTTGGTCAGAGGTTTTGCCTTGATATGTAGCAGCACATTATAATAACTTGCTCTGGGTCTGTCCATTATATCGTAATCATCTTGTGCTTGTTTTGATGGCCCTCTGATTAATTTGATTGTAATTTTCCCCAAGACTGCCCCAAATAGAACTTATTAAGGCAAAACGTTTGGCCAAAAGAAACATCAGTGCAAGTTAAAATTTACAGGTCACTGAGTGAATTACAAAAGACAGTGAAGTTGATACTAGAGACAACATTGCAGACATAGATAATTTATTTCAAGCACACGAAAGAAGAAGAGGAAGAATTTGATTGTTTTCTTTTTCTGTTTACAGGAGACTGGTACATATGGTTATTCTTTATTTGCACCTTTCTTAGCTAGTTATTAGCTGTCTCATTTCTGAGAACTCCACAGTCTGATGGTATCTATTTTACATTTGTCTTACACTGGTCGCCTAGTTTAGTATAGTATACCTGGTAATTTTCCAGATTGGAGTCCCTGAAGTATATCTCTTGCACCTGTCAGGAATACGATGGGTTGTGAAATATGACTGGTGTTTAACATTTTCTCTGCTACTATCTTGATGGCTTGAACTTCTGCATCATAGCTGTGAGTTGGCTTTCCTGTTAGTACTTTAGCTGTATGTCTAGTGTCATTTGGATGGTCACTACACCCCTGCTCATCCATTTCTGCTTGCATTTTGTGCTGACTCATCTGTGTAAACCCAGACAGTATAAATAGATATCAACAAACACATCATCTGCTTGGCACTGAATGAGTTAAAGAAGGGGGAATGACAGAGGTTATGATGTCTGTCTTCAACGTGAAATGTGCTGGTTTGAATCCTCCTGTGGATGTTTCCTCAAAGCTTTTTAAAGGGGAAAGAAGCAGCTTCTTTGAAGTGGCTTTTTCTTTCTGTTTAACTAAGTCTCTTTCCATCAAGCTTTGTCACATACTGAGAGCATGAGCACCATAGCTCCAGCAGTGACCTCCAGAAATCTTCGAAACACCTTTATTCGCACATCCAACAAATGAATCCGAAGTTAAGCCCACCACCTTTGGAACAGGAGGCAGATGTTCACATTAAGAAAGTCTTTGACAGTTAGAGCATGGAAGTTCAGGACAATTATTTGCGAATCAGCCCCCAGACCAAAAATATTCCATGGTCAATAAAAACAATAAGCAGGTTTGCTGTTTTTAGTCGTGGCAAAGTTTTTGCTTCTAACAATAGTCAGCTGTTGCATTTTCCTCCATATATAAACTGGAAGGATATAATTTTGTCGAGCAGCAAACGGAGTGGAGTGCATGGCACAGTTTCATTTGGAATACTTTTCAGTTGTGCACAGCATGGTTTGTATTATGAACCATACTTTCATAAATCGTGTGTGGATTGTTGCCACAGAACTGGTGGTACCTTATGTGATTAATCGCGTGTGCAACTACTGACCTGCTATGACTGCTGCTTGCGCTGATGGTGAACTGCATTTCTAGTATTGGACTGTTTGAATTGGCACTTCTGATGGTGACCTTGTGCATTTCATTTTGCTATTGCATTTGCTGACTGCAGTTTGTGGTAATTTTTCCACATGGGTCAGTGATGGACATTGTGTGTGGTTCTCATTGACAAAGGAAAGAAGCAGCTATGTGGGGACATGTTTGACTGTGAAGTTAGAACTGTGACTGCCTGATTACTTGTTGCCATCACATGTATTTAATGTGCTTCTTCCCAGTTACTGAGCACTTACCTACCTGCAATCATATTTTCCTTCATTCGTTTTTCTGTACCCGTGAATCTACCTCAATACGTGTATTATTCATGTTTTTTGGGCTGTGGACTACTAACCTAGCAATCAGATAAGTGCAGACAATCAAGTGTTTCCATGTGAAAATTCCCCTCCTCTTTTGGAAATCAGTAATTTAAGAGCACTACTGTACAAACCTGAAAACTACATACATAATAAATATTTTATGAAGTTTACCAGTAAAGAATATGATGTCATGATTTCAGGTGAGATAGGAGGTGTAGCCTTTGAAACTGGCAGTACATTAAGTGGGAGTCAGCTGTGCCAGAGGTACCTGTGCAAACATTCAGATCTGGTATCCAACCGACATTTCCAAGCCGAGATTGATGAGCTCTACAAGTGTCCATGCACGCTTGACCGGCTGGGATTGCAGTGGCAGCTGGTCAGAGAAGACAAGAGCACACAGTGTTATGCTATCAGTGCAGTAGCCAAGAGAAGACTGTTACGGACCAACCAGAGAAACAGGGTAACATACTTTTTTTTTTTAAAGACTGTATAGACCATCTAGAGAAACAGGATAACATACTGATTTTGTCCTGAGAAAAGACTGTTACAGACCATCTGGAGAAACAGGATAACATTCTGATTCTCTCTTTAGAAAAGACTGTTACAGACCAGCTAGAGAAAGAGGGTAACAAACTGATTTTCTCTTTAGAAAGATTGTTACAGACTGTTGTGTGCTAAACTCGCTTTGCTGTTCAATGGGACCAGGTGTTTGAAGCACGATCACCTATGCCAGTCGTAAAGGTGCAAGATGAAAATGATGGCAGAGGCGAGTGCAAAAGGTCGACACGGCTTTAACGTATGAAACAGGTGTTTTTCAACATTGGTAGGAGACAGTGGCTTTACGTGAATTGCACGTACTAGATGCTGAAATTTATACCGTGTCAAGTCAGTGCCTCTTGGACAGTCTTAGTGTGTGGATGCATTGAGCATGTTTTGTTCCAGTCTGGTGTGTTTAAGCATGGTGGTTTTATTCTGTTGGAGCTTATGTAAATTGTCTAATGCAGTGATTCCCAAACTGTGCACATTTTCGTTGTAATGTGTTTCATCTATATTAAAGAGACCAGTGCACTACTACAGAGATGACTTCTTGTGTATTGGGGGTGACATTGTGAATCTAGTGTTTGTAGTATGTTGGCGGTTAGAGGACTCTTGTATATATGGCCTAAACAAATCCCTTAGACACTTGGCAAGGATAACATTCTGATTTTCTGTTGAGAAAGACTGTTACAGACCAGCTAGAGAAACAGGATAACATTCTGATTTTCTCTTTAGAAAAGGTTGTTACAGACCAGCTAAAGAAACAGGATAACATTCTGATTTTCTCTTTAGAAAAGATTGTTACAGACCAGCTAGAGAAACAGGGTAACATACTGATTTTCACTTTAGAAAAGACTGTTACAGACCATCTAGAGAAACAGGATAACACACTGATTTTCTCTTGAGAAAGACTGTTACAGACCAGCAAAAGAAACAGGATAACACACTGATTTTCTCTTGAAAAAGACTGTTACAGACCAGCTAAAGAAACAGGATAACACACTGATTTTCTCTTTAGAAAAGATTGTTACAGACCAGCTAGAGAAACAGCATAACATTCTGATTTTTTTCTTGAGAAAGACTGTTACAGACCAGCTAGAGAAACAGCATAACACTGATTTATTCAAATGAAATGTTAGTCTCTACGTGTACAATGTATTTTAAATGTCTTATTGATCTCTTTTCAGCTTTGCTGTTACTCATGGAAGCCTCCAAAGAGCAACAGTTGGAAGGACTGGTTTGAATCTTGGCAGGCTGGCTCCTTCCTTGGAACTGGGCAGTTACTCATTAGTGACCCCTGGCAATTCTCATCCTCATTCAGCAACCCAAGGGCTTATGAAGATGCTCAGGAAAACATGCAGGCTCGTACCTGGTGCTGTGGGAAATCCCCATTAAAGTACTGCCAGAGATTTAACACAATCTTTGGGGACCTTCAGTGCACACCATATCCAGTCTTTGTTCCTGGTAATGGCATGGTTGTCTGTTGTGGGTGTCTGAGATGGTGTCTGTTTATGTGAGTGTCATGATGTTGTAATAGCATAGTGAAAAGATATACAGTTGGATACTGATGTATGTAATCTCAAGGGTGTGGAAACTGAACACAGGAGCCTTCCGTGAGCTAGGTAGACAACATACACACAACTTTTTCTCCATTTATATTCTTGCATAGCAAATACGAGGGGAAGTCAATAAGTAGGTCAGAAATGATTATGGGAAGGGCAGGAAAATGTAGTTTGTAGTTTCCCAAAAGTATCATTAGGTGACCGCAACATCAAACTTGATGTCTCTGTTTGTTAGGTGGTGCTAGGTGTTGCATGCTATTACAAACAAGTACAAGTAAGGGACTCTTTTCTGCGCCTTGAAGCGTATAGGACATATAGGGCTAGACCTATATTTTTATAGACCAATCGGCACAAGATGGTTGATGTGGTCAGCATCACGCCGGCCACCTTTACTTCCCGGACTGCACATAGTACCCACTCAAGGATAGGTCGGCGTGCTGACAAATGTTTCTGCCGTAAAGTTCTATCGATGCAGTTCAAAGAAAATGTCCAGGCCTGCTGACTAGAGGAGAACTGCTCCTTCATGACACTGCCAGACCACAAGCAGCTCGGTTAACACAGGAGACAATTATCCATCTTGGGGGATAACTTCTGAAACATCCACCTCATGGCCCCGACTTAGCCCCTAGCAACTTCCAGGTTTTTTGGGTCCACTGAAAACCCACCTTGGTGGGTGACATTTCGCGAATGACGCAGAAGTTGAATGTAAAGTGAAAATGTAATTAGGAAAACAGAACATGCAGTTCTATGCAAAAGGTTTGGGAGGACTGATAAAATGATCGATAGGACAAGTGTATCAATGTTGGTGGAAATTATGTTGAAAAATAAAGAGACAGCGTAAGTGTAAAAAAAAAGTGGTTTTCAAGTTATCTTCTTTAGTTTATTTTTAAACAATCATTCATGACTTTCTTTTTTACTTCCTCATATATTGGGAACCGCTGTCGCGTAGAGGCTATACATTCACCTGCAGTTGGTTCAGTTTCGGACGCAGCCATACGTTTTTTTTTCTTTGGCTGCCAGATCGACCCAGCCTTAAATGGGTACAAGGAAGAATCCTGGAAAGTAAAAGTGGCCGGCATGGTGTTAACCACATCACCTGAGTGTCGATTGGTAAATAAAATATAGGTAAAGCCATCTTTGCGCAATATGCCTGAAAGGCGTGGAAAAGGGTCCTTCACTTTATAGTAAATATATTAACTTCTTTTTATGCATGTAAACTTTTTCTCAAACCTTTGTCACATAAATGTCATCTCACATCAAACTGGGATTAAAGTATTGGATTTTAACTTTGTTGACGGTCGTCACAAAAGATTTATGATTTGGTCTCTTGCTGTATTTAGACTTCTAGATTCTTAGCATGAACAAATGAATAAAGTGTATGTTTCTTGTCAATGTTCCCCACTCTAGCATCAGCCCTTGGTGATCCTACCATTGTGACCCTGGACAATTCTAGCTATGCCATGAATGGCTGGGGAGAATATGTTCTGATGGATGTCCCAAGTGAGAGCTTTAAACTTCAGGTAGGACTTTGTCTTGTCTCTTGTTACTGTCATGAGTTTGTAATAAGTTATCATGTTCCCCGTGTGGGTTATGGGGCCCTCTTAGGGGAGGGGGGGGGGGGGGGGGGAAGACCCACTGCCTACACACAAGCATGTCGTAAGAGCTGACTAATTAGGAGCTTCCTTTGAAGTCCGAGTATATCTGCCTGAGAGGAAAGGAACCAACAGTCTGCATACAAATGAGTCAGATCAGTAATACATGAATGCATGCATTTATCATTCATGCTTTTGTATTTTTTAAAGATATTCACATTAAGCATGTTATTATATGAACATGACCTGCTTTACTGACACAATGTTTAGAAGTGCAGAATGTGAGACCTGTTGAAAATAATGATCATTTGTTTGTTTACCTAAAATAAAGCCACGGAACCCACATAACTAATCTACACCGTTGGTCACTTGGGTCAACATCCTGCCAGCCGCCTTTAATTCCTGAGACATTTCCTGGTTCTTAATTTTAGGCTATGTCAACCTGGGAGTTCTAGGTCAGGTATAAAAATCCACCTCGGTGCAGATTTGAACCTGTGACCTTTGGGCTGGCCACTGTGCTACCACATCTGTCATCATTAGGAAACAGGATGACATGCTGTCACTGTTGTATGTATTTTTGAACAGGCCCACACACAGAGGATACAGATCAATGGGACATTATCCAATGGAACTGTGTTCTCAGCTTTTGCTGCTCAAGAGAAACACTTCGCCAGGTTTCAAGTACAGCTGCGTTTAATTCCTGACTCATTTTCTGGTTCTTATTTTAGGCTATGTCAACCTGGGAATCCGAGGTCAGGTATACAAATCCACCTCAGTGAGGATTTTAACCGGTAGCCTTTGGGCTGCCTACTGTGCTACCGTAGCTGCCGTCTGACAGACTTAGGAAACAGGATGACATGCTGTGACTGTTGTATGTATTTTTCTACAGGCCCGCACACAGAGGATAGAGATCAATGGGACATTATCCAATGGAACTGTGTTCTCAGCTTTTGCTGCTCAAGAGAAACACTATGCCAGGTTTCAAGTACAGCTGTCACAGACAAACACAAGTAAGTTGTTAGTAACATTTTGAGGAAGAATATTTTGTTGAATTGATCACACACTACAGTTAGTTCATGGTACATTTCCTATAAAGTTTAAGTTAATATCAATTAGCTTGTTCTCTCCACAGTTCCTTGTATTTTGCCTTGAGAGAATAAATTGGTGTGTTGTTTCTCCTTTGTCTCATTTTAAGCAAGTCTATCTGCTAACTCATTTCCTGGTAAGACACAGTGAGCTGGGATCCACTGAATAACGATCTGATTGTTTTCTGTCAGTCTGTTTAACTGGCAGGTCAATTTTCTCTCCATTATGTCTCATGGATGCCTCTGAGTCACCCGGAGGACTGACATGACTGACAAAGGAAAACAATTTTCTTGTTTTTAATTTTTCTTACCTCAAGCACTTTGGTTGCATTAATAATTGCTTGTTGCTCTGCTCTGAAGTTTGTTGAAAGTCTTCCGGCAGCACATGAAGTTTCTACTGTAGTTCCCATCTTGCAACATTATGACCGATCCAGCTCCTCCATTTTTGTCTGCTTCCTCCAATGATCTATCTGTGTAAAGTGTGTCCATTTTGGTTTCGGGTAAGCGTTGTAGACATGTTCAAGAGTCTTTGAATGCTGTACTAAGTCACATTTCCTCTGCTTAAAACCACAGTTGTGACTGTATAGTTAGGCTATAGGTCTATGCTGTATACCTACATTATTTTCCAGGTTGAAAAGTCTTTAGAAATGATGTTACTGTTGGTTTTTAATAGTACAGTTTTGATAAATGGTGAAAACTTTGTCTTTTCAGTCCATTTTTGCTAAGTTGTTTGCTATTCTATACATGGAGCTGCTGTTTATGCGTTAACATTTTCTGATAGGGTGTGCACCATTTTTTTTCCTTTGATGACTCAAGCTCTGGAGGCTAGAAGTTGACTCCAGCTCATTGAAAGGTGTGCTTCTCATATCTCCAGTGATGACACTGAGACCAGTGTTCTGTATGTTGTTTAGTTTACATAGATTTGATTTGGCTGCAGCGGACTATGCTTCCATGCTATACTCCAGTTTTGGTCGTCCAAATCCTGTGTATATTTGTCATTCAGTGTTGGCACCTGCACCCCAGCTTGTTCCAGTAACAGCATGTTCTGATTTGTCTTTTCTTGTAATGTGCACACAGTTAGGACTGCCTCTTGTGTGATCTTGATCATCTCTGATTTCTAGAACCTGACCCAGGTAGTCAAGTCTGGTTCATTGATTGCATTCATCTCTGTCAGCACTTCTTCAGTCCCAGTCTGATGTCTCTATTCTCTGACCAAATCTAGAAAAGTGTGTATATATGCCCTTTGCTATCGCATGTAGCTCACCCTGTCTTCCCCAATCTCTCCCCCCCCCCCCCCCCCCCCATCTCCGCAACTTAAAAATAATTTTCCACAAATCTTCCAACTGTTCCTGATTCACTTCTGTATCTCAGGATAGGATTTATTTAGCTCTTTGAAATTCTCTTTCTCATCTCAGTTGGCAAATAAAGATTAATGAATGCCTCGTCAGATAAGTGTGAATGTATGTTCTTTGTATTTACAGGCATGGTGATTTTAGTTGATGGGATGGATCTCACCAACAAGTTCTACAGGGATGCAGGTTTCACTTGGTCCACGGATTACATCAACGTTGTCAGGAGAAATGAAAGTGGCAAGCTCCTTGTGGCAGCAACATTCCCCTGTGGTTAGTCATGTTGTTTGTTAACACTACTGGGGGGGAGGGGGGGGGGGGGAGTCTTCCCATTACATGAACTCTTTCAGTTGCAAGTGGGAATATTTTAACTGGTTATTTTATACACATCTGTGGCTTCATGTAATATGTGTCCTGATCTTAGTGGGTTAAAATAGGGACACTATTGTACAAAATAAGTGGTTAAAAAAAATTTTTTTTTAACCTGTTTAGATTCAGTCCCTTTTCCTTAGGGCTTGCGTGCCTGTTCATCATAGTTAAGAGTTAAAACTTGCAGTCTTCCAAAGGATTTACAAGTAACAACCATTATCCCTTTTACCCCTGTTACCTAGTAAAAATAAAGCCGAGCTTTCAAACTTCATATGAATTTTCAGGAAAGTAATCCTTAGAAAAGCAACCATTTTACACAAGTCACATACAAACATCATACAAAATCAGTTTATCATCCTAAACATCAACAAATACTATAGAGAGTAAAGGGAAGTGATCGATATTTAACAGTAATCACTGTAATTCCTTACGCCCTTTTTAGGACGTAATTTTTTGTTATTTGAAGCCCCACTCTGGCTTTTGCCAGGGGCCGAAATATAGGCAGGCCATCAATATGGCCAATTGTCTGAACGCGGTTTCTGGGACCTCTCCACGGCAATCCTCATCCACATGGTGGCACTTTGTGTCATCGGGTGTTTATCGCTTGTGTGATGTCATGGTGGGGTAGAAAGTTAGTCAGTCAGTCAAACATGAATGCAGCATAGAATCAACTAGCCTTCATCTCTTGTGGCCTGTAAACTAATTATAGCTAAAAACTTAACCATGTAGCCCTGGTGCCCCACAAACTGCTGTAACCCATGGGGAAAATATGACTGGACATTTTTATAAAAAAGCCATTTCATTTTATAAGAATTAGTTTAATAATGATTAGACTGCTTTAATTTTCTTTTGGCTCTTCCACCCCAAACAGTTATTGCTGTAGCTTATCCTGGCTACCATTTTGTTATTGAATTAAAATAAATACTTAGGGTATAAAATTAACATATATTGTCCACTGACCCCTCCTCTCCCCCCCATACAAACAATATTTACATGTCCTGCCATGCCATGATGCCAGATTATCTAACATTTTCTCTCTTGGACTACTTCTTCCCTCCAGTTTTCCCGCTGGAACAATACACTCCTGTTTCCTCTTCTGATGACATGCCTAAAGCATGTGGGTTGGCCTCTTTTAAAGTTAATAACCAGTTCTCATTTTTAGTTAATTTCCTTTAGGTCATCTTATGTTATTTATCTATCCATTGCATTCTCATCATGCTTCTTTCAATCCAGATGTCTACAGTTTCCACATAATCTATAGGTATTAGTATACAGATATGATACATTGAATGCATTTTTGTAATTTTTTTTCTTTATGTGTGCAGGCTTACCACACACACAGAAATAAGAAAATGAGTACACCTATTCCTGTTCTGTTTAGGTGTGTCCATCAAAGTGCATGTGGGTCTGAACAGTCTGGAGATTGACTTAGAGGTGGACGTGTCTCTGCGAAACAAAACAAGAGGTCTCCTAGGCAACTTCAACCAAAATCCCTTAGATGATTTCCTGTTAGCAAATGGCACTGTACTCTCTCCCAACATCACAGAGAGACAGATCTTGCAGGGTTTTGCTAATCAGTGTAAGTTTATTGAAAATTGTACTATTATATCATGAAAACAGAAACAGTTATTATCTTCCACTTTTGTCATTACACATCATGGCGGGAGCATACCTGTGGTTCATAGTGGGTCATTCTGAATTAATGTACTGTATCCTGAGTGTCATAAGATCATATTCCTCAGCACCCTCTTGCTCTTATCCCAGATTGTCTTCAGTGTAATAGTGTCTATTTCAATAATTGTTGCTGCTGCATACTAATGGATAAATAGGTAAATATGACAAGGCCTTAACTATTAAAGAAATCAATACAAGTATTCCCTGTTGAGGAGCAAAAAGAAGAGACCCACTGCTCCCCTACAAGCATGTCATAAAAGTCAACTAATTAGTTGTGCTCCTTTAAAGTTGGAGTGCATCTGCCTGAGAGTAAGGAACCAACAGTCTCCATATAAATAAACCTGCCCTGTAAAACAAATATGCACACAAAACTTTAGTTCTTTAACAAGATTTAAGTTCAATAGTGGATGAACAACCAGAACTTTCCACCAGAGTTTTAGCCGCTGAACGCAGAGAACAGAGTTGAAGAATAAAAGTATGAAAAGTTTGTCGGGAAATATGCCAATTTGAAGCCAACGAAAATGAAAATATAAGTTTAAATACTGAAATATTGAAGTTTAAAAAAAAAAGCCACCATGATACTCTGAAAAAAAAAGGATATAGAAGCATAAAAACAGAGTTTAATAAAGTGTGAACTGATTTAGGCAGCGGGAAAATATAGTGAGATTTGAAACAGTTATTGATGTGAAAGCACACTCTGATATATTTAAATGCTGTGTAATTAGAGATAAAAGGATGACTTTACAGTGAAAAAATATAGTGAAGTGTGAAACTGAGTTGATGATGTGAGAGCATACTGTGATATATTTAAATTATGTGTAATGAAAGGTAAAAGGATGACTTTACTTACAGCAAGAAAATATAGTGAAGTGTGAAACTGAGTTGATGACGTGAGGGCACACTGTGATATATTTAAATTCTGCGTAATGAAAGGCGCAAGGATGACTTTTACAGCAAGAAAATATAGTGAAGTGTGAAACTGAGGTAATGATGTAAAAACATACTGTAATTAGTCTTTGTAGCAAAGTTGTTAAATTGTTCTTGCTACGAATATTGTGGGCTCTGTTTCATCCTGCTTATTCATTTTCTGAGCATATTTTTTTCCCAGAGATAACTGGTGAATTGGTGATTGTTGCTGAAGCTACAGTGTTTGTGTGATGCTTTCAGCATGCAGCTGCCCACTATGTGGAAATAGACCAAACAACATGGGATAGAACCAGTGCAATAAAGTTAATACTCTTAACTTTAGTCTGTGATGTGATGTCTGAAGGCAAGCATGTACAGTGTGAAAACATATTTTTATTTTAATGACATGTGAAACTGGGTGAAGACATAATGTAAAGAAAGGTGTGAAAAGATTAAATTAAAATATGAAAACTGTGTGTACCCGATGGAACAGAAGAAGAAATATTGTCAAATTCGTGACAAGAAAAGGCGAGAAAATTTACTTACAGTGAGGTGATGTCAAGTAAAGTAAAGATCCCTTTACACACCAGTGGCACATTGGGCATGTGAGACTAGACTCATATTTTTATAGACCAATCTGCTCTTGGTGGGTGATGTGGTCACCCCTTTTACTTCCCAGGAATTCACACGGTGCCAATTTAAGGCTGGATCATCCTAGGAGCCAGAGTCATGTTTTTGAAATCCTGCACCATATGGATTTAAACCCATAATTGTCCAATATGCAGGTGAGCATCTAAACACTTCACCTTGGCAACTTCAAAAAAAAATATAGTCTGATTGAAAAAAATACAATGTAGTGATGAAAAAAGCTGTATTCCTAAACATTCATATTTGCAGACCTGGTAACTGAGGCCACATCTGTATTTATATACAACAAAGGGGAGAGCACCAAAGATTATCAGCATCCAGAGTTTGTCCCACAGTTTGTGGATGAAACTGATCCAGATCGATTGGCGGATGCAAAGAGAATTTGTGGGGAGAGCAATAAAGCCTGCATTTATGACAAAATTGCTACAGGGAATACCGATTTTGCAAGAAATACCAAAGAGGGAAAGGAAGCCAATGACTTTAAAATACAAAGTTTCAGTAAGTACTTTAACATCAGCTTGTATTATCACCCTTCTTTCATAACCTTTCACTGTAGCTGTGAACCCAACCAGTAAAATAAAAAGAACTTGGTGGTTTTTGTTGGTTTGGTGATCAGGACTGATCTGGAAAAAAACAACTTATCATTGCAGTAGAATAAAGAAGCATTGACAACTCAGTATTTATACTGTTGATAATTTCTCCTTGACTGCTGTACATTCAAGAATATAATCATCATCATCATCATCACCAAGTGCCTTTCTGACTGGTGTGGGTGATCATGTCTCTCCTCAATCTGTGATCTTTAACTTCATGTATCAGGGATCTTCTCACATTGTCTTCCTCAGTCTCTTTTTCCATGGGTCTTTCCAGTAATCACAACATGTTTCAATTTCATTCTTCTCACATTGCAACAACAACAACAAAAAAAGACTGTCTCTTTCTTATGTTTGTGATAAGTTGTCTTTGAGCCCTCACCTCTTTCATTACATCTTGGTTGCTTTGTGCGGGGCTATCCAAGGAATTCTAAGGGTACTTCTGTAAAATCACATCTCTGAGGCCTCTAGAAATTTTTTGTTTCATTAATTGTCCAGGATTCACAGCCATATTTTAAAACTGGCTCAATGTAGCAGGCAAAAATTATTTTGCTAACTTCCGGTGACATAAATTTATTGCATAAAATGTTTTTCATTTGATAAAATGCAGTTTTATCCTCTCCTATATTTTTTTAAATTTTCTGTTGGATTTTATCCTTGTATCTACTGAAACGTGTATAATAGTAGTAGTAGTAGATTTTTATCCCACCAGGACATCACACAAGTGATAAACACCCGATGACACAAAGTGCCACCATGCGGATGAGGATCGCTGTGGAGAGGTCCCAGAAACCGCGTTCAGACAATTGGCCAGGTTTATGACCTGCCTATATTGCGGCCCATGGCAAAAGCTAGGTTGGGGCTTCAAATAACGAAAAATATCGTCCTAAAAAGGACGAATATGAAGTCTTAACTACGTGTATAGTTGTCCTAACAAAACGCTTTGACTTATACAGTTCATTTAAACACTGTTTGTTTTTTTCCATCGTTATTACTACAAAGTCCGACAATTAAGTAATGAGACTAATTTCATAAAAATTAAAATAATCAACAGTTGATGATATGACCCGTATTTTATTAAAAATGAGCTTCTTGTGCATTGATACAGGGAGTGACACGATCTAACGAACACTGGAACGACCACTGTAGTTCTTCTATTGTTATGGCCTTTAAAAGTCGATGTTACAGCTCTTTTGATGCCATCAATATTGTCAAAGAAGCATCCTTTCAATAAAAACTTCAGTTTTTGGAATAGAAAATAGTTACTGGATTGTTGAGAACAAACATCTGTTTTGGAGCCCAAAATTCCTGTACAACTACAGCCCTTCCAACTGGTGGTTTATCATGAAATAGGAAAAAAAATTGACAGATGTTGAATACAAACTGACACGCAACTTTTTTCTTGCCCAAATCTTCCACTAAAACTTCACGAATTGTCTTCATATTAACACCAAATTCATCTACCATCATCCTCACAGTCAAACACCAATCGTCTTGTATCCCTTCTCCGAATTTTTCAATGAGTTCCTCATTATGAACATAAATTGGGCGTCCAGGTCTAGCTGCATGAGTAATAATTTCAACACCATTTTTGAATGGTAAATATTACCTGAAAATCTGTGTACGAGATAAACAATTATCCCCATAAACCTGTCGCATCAATTCAACAGTCGCAATGGCACTTTTTCTTAGTTTTAGACAGAATTTAATTTGAGCTTTTTTTTTTTTTTTTTTTGCTAGAGGCTGACTACGTAACAATGCACCTCTGACTAGGTTAACAAAATGGTGGCTGTATTGTGTCTGCTTATCGGGCGGCGATGAAAAGTTGCCATATCATAGACGAAGGTTGCCTCTTTGGATTCCATGCTTTGATTCATAGATAAAATTTTTGTCTTGGCCATAATAAAATCAGTCTCATTACTAAATTGTCGGACCTTGTATTACTACTGTCTTTCATGTTTTTAAGCTGAGGCTCCTTTTATCACTTTTTACCACCACTGTATCTGTGAGTTCCTGTATTTCTTTCTAACTTGTCAAGATGACGTCATCAGCATAACTTATGTCGTTTATGTTAGTTAATTGACAGATTATCCTCAGTGCACATTAGACAAGTCTATCTTCAGTGTATACCCCTAGCGTGTGGCAACTGATAACACCAGAACACCAGAGCTGTGATGGTTTACTATGCTTCTTTGACTGCCTGTAAAGTTTTTATGTTTGGCGACACCTCTTATGACCTAAAGTTCTTATGGTCTTTTCCGTGTTGCTGGTACCGTGTCATCTCCTGAGTCATCTTCTCGTGCTGCCTCCTTGAGAGCACTGAGAATGTCAGCCTTGTCCATTGCTTTACCTGTGCCTACCTTGGCCCTATTAGCAAGCCAGTCCACTAGTTCATTTTCTCCCTGAGTGTCCTGGCACAAAAATGAAACTAATTCCTTTCAGACGAAATTTCCTCAGTGACTCCAACCATATTCTTGAAATCCATACTGTCTCTCTATCTTCTTAAGCATGCTCATGAAATCTCTTAGAACGCACACTAGGACAAAATGCTGTCTTTCTAGCCACATCATTGTTTTTGTTACCGCTATCATTTCAATAGTCAGAGTACTTGTAGTCGAGGCAAAAGTACCGCTATTTCTGTTACATTTGTTTCTTGAATCTCTAGAAACCGTAGAAGCCAATAAATTTGTACACGTTGAACGACGGATCCATCAGCGTAGATAACTGCCCCTCCTTCAGCGAAATTTTCAAGAATTAAAGTTTGTTTATGACTGCCAACCACAACTCATGGCACATCAATGATCTATCTCATATCATTTTATCCACAGACAACACCCCACCCACAATAAGTTTGTCGGTCAGCAACAACATCAACAACAACAGCTGGCTGGTGACTGAGGGAAAGCCAAATTCTCTCAGAGTGGAAGCACATGATAGTGATGATGGTGACCAAGTCACTTATGAGCTGCTAGAGAATGCCACTGGAGTGGTTCTTTATCAGAATGGAACTGTCACCTACACACCAAATCTTCAAGCTCCTGTCAGTCTTGGGTAGGTGGCCTGTTTGTTCAGTTGTTGAATTTGCACTGTTCATCATACACTAAATATGTTTTTTCCTATTCCACAGATCATTATATTGTAAAAGGGGAGGGGAGTTTGTTTTACCATGTTAAATCTTGTTGAAGGCAGATTAGGTTATAATTAAGGTCTGGATTTATTTGCAGCAAATTCATTGGTTTGGACAGTTTTTGTATGTCAGAAGTTGTGACTTATTGTCCCTAAATGTGTGGGATTTTGTCATTTTTGAACATGTCTGGGCCCACTTTTGGTACTAGTTCCATTTTGTGAGTTTGTCTTCATGGCTGTGCTTGCCGTCTCTTGGGCATGACTGTTACTTATGACTGGTTTGTTCTCCTTATATCCTGTGTAGTGGTATTCTTTCTGAGGTATGGCGCCCTGTCGTTTGTCCTTGAGATCCCTATCCTTGTTTGGTTGTCCTTCTCCTGTTGAGGCTCCATGTTATCCACAGAGCCTCTCATGCAGGTTCTAAATATATTGCACTTCTGATACCCTGTGTATCAATTTATGTTGACTGTTTCTGATTGTAACTGTCTGCTTTCATTTCATGTGCACACTGCATCAGTAATGATAATAAAAAGACACATTTGTATTAATTATAAAATGCCTGTTACATTAATAGCAACAGACATTACTGCACACTAGGCGTGTCTACAGGTGCTCTATAACATTTGACAAAGAGTATATACATTGATTGTTCTTATACTGTACTGACTGTATCACTGTCTCTGTCAATGAAAATCTAAAACTACTGTAATAACAAGTTTGGTATTTAGAGGTTGGGAATGCAATTTCATAATTCCAATATACTTGCATAGGTTCAGCTGCAGGTGATCTGCCAGCTTTGCATTGATTGTGACAGTGGTATTGTGTTGACCATTCAGGGGTCAGTAGCAAACAGTTCAGTGTTAAATTACCAAGTAAAACCTCACACAGCCAGAAAAAGCTGGACTTTATTTATATCTCCTTGAAGAGGTTTTGCCAGTAACTTTACTCTGTCAGTCCCAGGCGGGTATCCCTTAACTTGTTGATGCCTAAGTATTTTTTTTTTCACCTGCAGTAATAATTGTTTAGATCCAGAGGGTTAAATTAGTCGCATTAGGACACCAAAGGGGTTAAAGTAACATGTCGGTTAGCACAGGTTTTTATAACAGCTATTTGGGGAACTGAGTGTTTAGAAAAGGCATATCATGTAAGGAGTAACTAGTAAACACATGATGAATGGGGCCTAATGAGTTGAGAAGTTTTGATACTGGAATGCAAGGGATATGACAGATTGATGCACAAGTTAATCGTGTTAACCATCTGCTGATGAGAATGGAGCACGTGCTGTTTCCAGAAGGGCAGCATCCTTTTATTTTGTGTGTTACCAGTAGTATCATGCCACACTTACATAACTGCCAATATGTTTGCAGCATTCAAGCCAGGGATTCTAAAGGTGCCTACTCCCCAATTGTGAGAATCGCCATAGCTGTATGTCCAGTCTGTAGTCAACATGGGACCTGTAGCACCACCGACACCCAGGCTGAGTTCCTGGAGGGACAGTTCCAGATATTCAAGTGCAACTGTTACCCTGCCTACACAGGTGAAATTTTTGGAGATTTGAATGTTAACTCTATCAGATCTTAACAAATATTAAATTTGAGGTATAAAAAAAAAAGTTAAAGTCGGGAGATGTAAACCAGCGTCATTGCACACGGTTTTAAACCATAAGTGCTCTGCCACCAGTACGGACAGCTGACAAAAATTTTCCCCCTGTGTCACCGTCCGCACTTAACTCTGTAGCTACAGCGACGTTCTTCCATTTACCCCAAAGTTCCAACTCTGGTACCCATTTCCTAGAGGCTGGGTGAACCCCAGGAACCGCCCAGTTTCGAACACCGACCCTGGGCTGCATCGAGTCGCAGCTGGATTTGAAAGCGAGCCTTTTATAACTTAATCCATCAGTTCTAAAAAATTCAAATTCACATTTTTTGAGTTAAAATCACTGATGTGCCCAAAAGAGGAGGTCAAAGTTTAGGGTCAGTTTAATATGCTGGAATGTTTCTGTAGTAAAAATAAAGTTACTGTATATGATCTATATGTGGTTTCATTCTTGTTTGTCTTGTTGTTGAAACACCAGGTGACAAATGTGAGTCTGAGCTGGATGCCTGTAAGTTATCTCCCTGCCTAGAGGGACAGAACTGCACTGATCTGACAGCAGCTGAGCAGGGAAACAACTCTGTTGGCTACAGTTGTGGGCCTTGTCCTACAGGGACTAAAGAAGTCAATGGGTCATGTGAAGGTCAGTTTTGCTGTAGTTTACCACACCAAATTAGCTTCTTTTTTTTTTTTCTCTTTTTATCTTTCTGTTGTGAAAGGCCATTGTGTTCTGCAATGAAGCTGATATTCACGGCATTTTCTAAGAACAGAGCAAGTAAGAACAACATCTGCTTTGGATTGAAAGACTTAAGAATATTATTAATCAAATTATAAATTACATGGGTAAATTATACAAATCTGCATGTTTTTAAAATTTACTGCACTTTAACTGAAAAAAAAAAACCTTTTGATATTATAACTTGATAGTCTTTGCTCTGGAATTCATAGATTAGTTGAGTGCTAAGCTAAGGCTGACATTACAGCACTTGGGAAATTCCCATAAATTTCCAGTCCTCATCTTCAGCAGCCAGCAAAGAGTTCCAGTTGCAATGGTGCTAGTAGCAGTTTTATCTAATGTCCATATTGCCTTTCGTCTGGAACTCACAGGTTAAAATAAGAGGAAAACCTTCAACACGCTGATGAAAGAATTAGAGACAGAGATGAAATAGCAAATTAGATGACCTCAAGTGAGTTGTTTGAGAATCTCTGATGAACTGGAGGATAAAAGGCAGCAGAAGAAGAATTGAAGTTTTTACTGTAGCTCACTGCTTAGTCTCAGGGACTTGTTCAATTGCTGTGTGATGGAGTAGCATTAACTCATTCTTTACCAAGGAACTAACCGTCTGTTCATTGGTTACACTATGCGTGGAACACATTTCTGTACTTTTCCTATCCCATTTTTATACTACATTACCTCTTTATTTTCCTGTTTTTACTTTAAGACCTTCTCTCCTGGCGCTGTATGAGACAGAAAACTGTGTTGTTCTAAGATACAAAAACATTAACAGAGACATTGTTGAAATCAAAACTACCTGGGACTGAGCAAGTTAATCTACTTGTGTTTATTTGTATATCTTTCTGCTACAGATATAAATGAATGCCTGGAGAGCACACTATGTGAGCAAGAGTGTCTGAACACGTACAGATCATACAGTTGTTTTTGCAGGCCAGGGTATAGAGTCAGTCAGACAGACAGCCGAGCTTGTACTGGTAATACTGTTTTCTATTCGTACATCTACATGTCTCATATGTTACGAATGAGTTTAACCACTCACCAACCAGTCGCCCTCTTTTAGTCATATTAAATAATGAAGAGGCAATCCTGAAAATAAATGCTTACTTTATCTGATTTTGATTATTTCATTTTCACTGCCGCAGGACTGAAGCAAATATGGGGCAGCACAATTTCAGGGAAGTTGAAACCTTGAAGACTAAGACTTTACATGGCTGATAACCATGTCATTAAATATTTAGCAGTAAAGTGACAAGATGCTACTTTAGATAAATACTTTATATGATAGGATAACTATGTCATTAAGTAATTAGCAGTAGTGAAAAGATGCTACTTTAGATAAATACTTTATACGGTAGATAACCAGGTCATTCAATATTTATCAGTAGTGACAATATGCTACTTTAGATAACTACTTTATATGGTAGATAGCAATGTCATTAAGTTATTTTGCAGTAAAGTGAAGGGACTTTATATGGTAGATAACCATGTCATTAAGTATTTAGCAGTAAAGTGACGAGATGCTACTTTAAATAAATACTTTATATGGTAGATAACTGGCAGCGTGACGAGACGCCACTTTAGATAAATACTTTTTATGGTAGAAAACCATGTCATTATGTACTTAGCAGTAGTGTGACGAGATGCTACTTTAAAGAAATACTTTAGATGGTAGGATAACCATGTCATTAAGTATTTAGCAGTAAAGTGATGAGATGCTACTTTATAGACATACTTTATATGGAAGGATAACCATGTCATTAAGTATTTAGCAGTGTGTGACGAGATGCTACTTTATAGAAATACTTTATATGGTAGGATAACCATGTCATTAAGTTATTTTGCAGTAAACACAAGATGTTATTTTACAGAAATACTTTATATGGTAAGATAACCATGTCATTAAGTATTTAGCTGTAGCGTGACAAGATGCTACTTTAGAGGAAAACTTTATATGGTAGATAACTATGTCATTAAGTATTTAGCTGTAGCGTGACAAGATGCTACTTTAGAGGAAAACTTTATATGGTAGATAATCATGTCATTAAGTATTTAGCAGTAGCGTGACTATATGCTTCTTTAAAGAAATACTGCCCTTAGAGAGGTAGATTCTGGAAGGTTAACATGGGCAACACGTGTCTGTAGAAACTGGATATGTCCGCTAAAAGTTGAGAACATTGCATCTAAGCTGTACCTCCTCAGATGAATGCGGAATAAGATGCAGATATTTCATTAAGTATTCAATAATAGTGCTAGAAGATACTACATTAAAGAAATGATGTACTTTATATAACAGAATTCATAACATAAAGTAATTAGCAGTAGTTTGAAGAACTGTTACTTTACAGAAATGCTACAAATTTGGTAGCAGTGTAAGAACTGTTGCTTTACAGAAAAGTTTTCTACATATAGTAGATACTGAAAGCACAAAGTATTGAGTTGTAGTATGAAATAATATGACCACAAAGTATTGAGTTGTAGTATGAAATAATATGACCACAAAGTATTGAGTTGTAGTATGAAATAATATGACCACAAAGTATTGAGTTGTAGTATGAAATAATATGACCACAAAGTATTGAGTTGTAGTATGAAATAATATGACCACAAAGTATTGAGTTGTAGTATGAAATAATATGACCACAAAGTATTGAGTTGTAGTATGAAATAATATGACCACAAAGTATTGAGTTGTAGTATGAAATAATATGACCACAAAGTATTGAGTTGTAGTATGAAATAATATGACCACAAAGTATTGAGTTGTAGTATGAAATAATATGACCACAAAGTATTGAGTTGTAGTATGAAATAATATGACCACAAAGTATTGAGTTGTAGTATGAAATAATATGACCACAAAGTATTGAGTTGTAGTATGAAATAATATGACCACAAAGTATTGAGTTGTAGTATGAAATAATATGACCACAAAGTATTGAGTTGTAGTATGAAATAATATGACCACAAAGTATTGAGTTGTAGTATGAAATAATATGACCACAAAGTATTGAGTTGTAGTATGAAATAATATGACCACAAAGTATTGAGTTGTAGTATGAAATAATATGACCACAAAGTATTGAGTTGTAGTTTGAAATAATATGACCACAAAGTATTGAGTTGTAGTATGAAATAATATGACCACAAAGTATTGAGTTGTAGTTTGAAATAATATGACCACAAAGTATTGAGTTGTAGTATGAAATAATATGACCACAAAGTATTGAGTTGTAGTATGAAATAATATGACAACAAAGTATTGAGTTGTAGTATGAAATAATATGACCACAAAGTATTGAGTTGTAGTATGAAATAATATGACCACAAAGTATTGAGTTGTAGTTTGAAATAATATGACCACAAAGTATTGAGTTGTAGTATGAAATAATATGACCACAAAGTATTGAGTTGTAGTATGAAATAATATGACCACAAAGTATTGAGTTGTAGTATGAAATAATATGACCACAAAGTATTGAGTTGTAGTATGAAATAATATGACCACAAAGTATTGAGTTGTAGTATGAAATAATATGACCACAAAGTATTGAGTTGTAGTATGAAATAATATGACTACAAAGAAAGGTTTACATTATAGAGTACCTTTTTGTGACAATATTATTTAGCAGTTGTGGGGAAAATCATTTAACAGAATGCTGGAAATTTGCTGTAAATGTCTGGGTTCCCAGCCGGAGAAGCAAGATGGAGACATTAAATATGTATACTGTTAACTCTTTCAGTCCTAGAATGCTTTACACTGGGTGGCTGAGTGTGGAAGTAACTAAATAAGCTATATACCTTAATGGAAAAGCCATATTTCTTGTGCATGCTTTGACCAAATGTGAAAATACAGAGAAGACATCACTTGATCCTTCGATGTCGGCTCTTCCTATCATTGCGAAGCAGTCGTGCGCCACGGATAATGTCTCAAATGAGCATTAACAGAGCTGTCAGGGGATCTCGGAGTTTGGCGGCCCCCAGAGGTGATGTGTCCTTGTGGCTCTCATCAGCCCGCCCCCAAACGCTTGGGTGAAAAATGTTATCAAAACTCATTAGGAACATGAGTAGGGTTGACAAACATACAGCTAAAATTACAACCCTTGGTTAAAAGACTGCTGAGTAAAGAGAACATTGCTCACTGCACATCATCGGTTAATTCTCAGTGTCGTCGTCACCGCGCTGAGGTGCAACACAACAGAAACCATACATGGGCTGGCCATCCTTGTGCATCCTCGGTTGGCCCTCAGTGTCGTCGTCACCGCGCTGAGGTGCACCACAACAACAACCATCCATAGGCTGGCCATTCACGTACATCCTCGGTTAACCCTCAGTGTCGTCGTCACCGCGCTGGGGTACACCACAACAGCAACCATCCATCAGATGGCTAAGCCTAAATGTCCGACAAAACTAGATCATACAGATCAAAATCTGACCATCAAAATTTGCACTGAACTGAAAGAGACCGAATATCCACACCCAAAGACCCCACTCGCCCGAGTGTTGGGAAAAACTGACAACGATATGCCTGATTCAGGATGTGAAATTCTGTCGGGCTAATGTACCTATCTGTGTGGTCACAAAAGTCCAAAACCCAAAGGCTGCTCCCCGCTGACTTCCAGAGGGCGCAGCCCCTGTCGAGCGGGAGGCCTGATACGGTTGTGAGGTTAAGCAGGCATGTGCAGGACGTGACGATTCCTTGGGTGAGCCCAGAAACAGAGCGATATGTGCCGGCTCTGCATGCATGGAAGCCTCCTTGGATGGCGGGGAATGCACATGATCTGCCCCTGCCTTTCCTTGAGGGCCAACTGTTCCACAGGGGGCTGCCCCAAAGGGGTACTCCGGGGGCAATACCTGCGGCGAAGGAGACAAAATGGACACCACACAAATCAGGCAACGTCTCGACCCACACAAAACAATGGCCACAGTCACCCTAGAAATAGGCCTGACGTCTTCCTTCGAAGTCGGCGTACAGCTGCCCAAGAGGCAGGGAAATGAAAAACGGTTGTACACGCAAAAATCAGGTCCAGGTGAAAGCCAAAAGTCCAAGCGGACGATTAACCGGGACCTTCCACTGGAATTCACAGCCGGTGTTCGATGAAAAAAAAAAAAAAATCACTTGATAGATGAGATTCAGTAAGTGCCAGTAACACATTTCTATTGCTTAAATGTGAAAAAGTCATCAGTTTTGTCACTGTATTTGTTATTTTATTATTGCCCTTATCATCTTGTAACCTTTGACTGCTCATTAATGTTTTGTCAAATGTTCCGACAGACATTAATGAATGTGAAGAGAGAACCTCCGGCTGTACACAAGAGTGCACCAACACAGAGGGAAACTACACATGTTCATGTCAACAGGGCTATACACTTGGCTCTGACTGGAAATCGTGCATCATTGGTGAGATATCTGTCATCTTTTTCAATATTTTCTTGTTTCATAGGCTTCTTTTCTTTTCTGCCCATCTCTTTATTTGTGGTTCTTGTCTCATTCAGTATCCATGTGGATTCATTCAGGTTCCAGCAGTCATTTTAAATTTGTAAGTTTCATGACGATATAAATGCTTTATATTCTGTATTTTGTTGTTAACCTTCTAATTGTATGACTTTTTTCAATTGTTGGCAACACTGTCATCTCAGAAAGTTATTTTAAATTAAATATTCTTGTCACCATGGTTACAGTAACTGAGGAACTGGGTCGATTATTATTATATAAATATTTAAAGGAACAACTATAGTAGTGCAATGGTTGGCATACTTGCCAGCATTGTCATTTGATATTTTTAAGAAAATGACTTTTATTATTATTTGCTTCTAACATAAAATTTTTGTTTTCTGTTTTTCCTTCTTGAGTCTGATACAGTTAAATCACCTCTTCTGCTGTCCAGGGTGTGCAGAAGCTTTTTTTAATATAAAAAGATTGACTGATGTTGCAGCACATCTACTGGAAAATGTTCATAGGGTTTATTTTTAAACTGTGCCGGCAGTCAGAGAAAGACTTGTGTGTAATGTTACATCATGCAGTGTAACACCGTGAGCAGAGCGAAAGAAAACAAATACAGACTGCAGTTAGTAAGTAAGCAAACAAGTAAAGGACCTTTTTCCACGACTTCTGGCATAAAGGGCTAGTCCTATGTTTCAGCACTTAGTGGTGACACATCATCCTGGACACCTTTATTTCCCAACCTGTAATTAATGCTATATGCTATATGCCAATTGTCGTGTAATGTTATATGTATAGCTAGAGTGAGATGGAGGTAGTTAGCATCAAGACGCTTCAGTATCTACTGAGGGAGATGGAGTACTTTTGGGTGTTACCTGAGTACAGTAAGCTTGTTTTTTTCCAGGTACCAACATGTCTTTAGTGTGTGGACAGTGTGAACAAGTCTGCTCAGTGACAAGTGGTCAGGTGTCTTGTAGCTGCAACATTGGCTACCAGATCAGTGACAGTGACCCTCATAGATGTGTTGGTAAGTGTCAGTATGTGCCAGTGTGTAACGTGGGGGTCTAGTTTGATAGTACTTTTGAAGGAAAACTTTTCGCAAGAGAAAAAAATATGAAGGGCCAATATTTGGTTAACCAATTTCAGGAGATCATGTATGGTAACAGAAGATATTTGTGATTGTGTGTTCTATTTGATGTAACTGAAATTGCTTAGAAATCCATGATGTTTTACGATTGTGAAGGTTGTTATTAAGGTTTGTTTGTGTATATATGTCTTTCTATCCACTATGTCTCTTTTCCTTAAATACTTTCCTCTATTTCACTTCATTCTTTCTCTGTCCTGCTCTGTGTCTGTCTGTCTGTCTCTGTCTCTGACTTTCTGTCACCTCTCTGTCTGTCTGTCTGTCTGTCTGTCTGTCTGTCTGTCTCTCTCTCTCTCTCTCTCTCTCTCTCTCTCTCTCTCTCTCTCTTTCTGTGTGTCGCTCTCTCTGTCTCTCTCTCTCTGTCTCGGTCTGTCTGTCTGTCTGTCTGTCTCTCTCTCTCTCTCTCTCTCTCTCTCTCTCTCTCTCTCTCTCTCTCTCTCTCCCCCCCCTCTTTCTCTGTGTGTCTTTCTCTCTCTCTGCAATTAATATCTGTTTTTGTACATACTTCGTCTTCTTCTTTGCGTTCAGTTTCGTATGCTCAGATCAGACCATCAGGTGGGTTACCTCTATGAACTCGCATGTCAGCAGCAGGTCCTTCATGTTTCCCTAAAGCTTGCTCTGCACACTTTGCTCTTGAGGCCAGGTGTCTTTTCCAAGTTGTAGGTAGAGTGGGCAGGTCTGCAGAATGTGCTCAGGTGTTTATGGTCCTGTCTAACAGGCACACTGTGGGGACTGTACAGTCTTTATTTCAAGCATGTGGTAGTTGAGCCTGCAGTTTCCTGTTTGTTGATGGAATTGTTTGTACATACAAAATGTTTCAAATGCTTATTCTCCATCCCAGATGTAAATGAATGCAACAAGGGAGGTAACTCTCCTTGTGACCATACCTGCACCAACACAGTGGGCAATTTTGAATGTTCCTGTTACCCTGGCTACAGTCTGGAGATGGATGGGGTCACATGTGTGGGTAAGTGCTGGTTCCAGATGTGCCTTCATTAGTTGATGTGTGGGTGCAAGTACAAGAGTACAATAGACTTTGCAAGAGTGATAAGTGGGCTTCTCTTGTGTTGTATAGGCAATGGACTGATGCAAGGATAGAAACATTGCTATCCTAACCTGCACATTGCTGCAAGGTACATCAGCACAGGACTTGCTATACAGGTGGCCTAGTTATAATGTATTTAGAGGTTGAGTGGGGTATCTGGGTTCTCCCTGTTGGTTTAGCATCCATAATGCCACTCTTAAAGTGTAATGATACAATATGTTTGTCTCCATTATTTTAAAATTATTTCACCTAGATGTAAGGTTTTTTTTTTGCGAGTGAACAGTGTGAAGGCACAAATGAATCATCACGGTCTGAAGAGAATGATGTGTGAGGGGTGACCAGGGGATCTGTCTGACACTCAACATTCAAGGAAAAGTCAAGAGGAATATACAGTCAGATGGTCACTGGTACATCAGAATTATAACTGTGATGGCTGCTGAAGATGGGAAGTAGCACTTATGGGAGTGTCCTGAGTGCTGTGATGTTGATTCTTATTTAACATTTAACAGTTATTTCATAGGCTATACACAAATGTTGAGAGAGTGCTAAAATGTTACATAGAACCTGTTCTGCTGTATGGCAGCGAATCTTGGAATGTCAGTGAACAAATTAAGATGAATTTGGAAGCAGCAGAGATGTGGTTTCTGAGACAAATGTAACAAATACCTTGGACCACCAGAGTAACTAACAACGATTGCTTGAAAGAAGCTAATGAAAGTAAATTTCTATATACAACAATTAGGAAGAAACAAAACACTGTTCTTTGGTCACATAATGAGAAGAGAGACACTGAAGACCATTATGACAACTGGAAAGATCAGTAGAAAAAGGGGTAGAGGCAAAACATGAGAGATGATGCTGAATGAGCTGAAACGATTGCTTGGAGGGATATCATCAAGAGAGCTGTTCAAGGCAACCAGGAATTGTGATATCTGTTAAATTTGCACCATTCTCATATAATCTCATTAACTAGAAGTAAAAGTAATCAGCATGGTTCAGTGGGCCCTTTACAGAACATCACCTCTCCTCACTGCACACCTAAAAGTCACTGTCTTTAGCCAATTCTCCAGCCTTGTGAGCTCTCCTAACCAGTGGGTCTTCACTATCTTGTACCCCCTTTGCAGAGGTCAGCCTCTGCCTCATTTTTCAGAAAATGCAGCCTCCAACACTGTTCTCTCCAGGCCACCGCGACGTTCAGCATGGCCAGAATAGCTCAGCTTTCAGGAGAGGATGACGATGTTAAGCCAACTCTACTCGACATTCAGACCCACTGCTTTGAATAGCTCAGCCATTGTTCTCGTCTCAAATTTGCTCAGATGACCTGTAAAGGTAGCCGGTATTATATTGGAAAAGTGTTCATCCTTCAACAACAACAACAAAATTGAGATTTTGATGGAAATAATTGTCTCCAGACATTGTTTTTACAACATATGGCCACACCATCTTTTCAATATTCTTGGATGAGGGAGGAAAATTGGCCACCGTGGCAGGCATAGGAGTCCAATAACCTAAGAACCAGACCTCCAGGGTGGCCCAGGATCAGTGGGGAAGACAACATCCGACAGTCCCTGGCTGAAAGAGGACTGGAATGGAATAAATCCTAAAAGAAACCTGCTGATAGAGAAGTCTGGTGATCTCTCTGGCAAACCTCCACACCCGAAGGTAGAGGAGGCCATTTAACAAGAAGGGACCAGGCCACCATCTTCAGACACAGAACACACAACATACTTCACTCAATGGACACCTAAACAGAATACAGCCACAACACTCCCCAGAGTGCCAGCTATGTAACTACCCCTATGAAACTGTTGACCATCATCTCTTTGAGTGCCCAAAACTCAACGAGACTAGAAGAATGCTACTCCCTCCGAGACCAGACAGGTGGAACACCTTGTACGGAGGAAAAGAACAGCTTGTGAAAATATGTAAATTCCACTACATGGCATTGGGCCAAAGGGCGAAAGCTCATGCGCCGCTGGATCAATAACAACAACAACAATGTAGAAGAGGAGCGACTAAGTAAAAATGAGGGATAGTGGTGAAGACCAGTTTAGTGTATTTATAATATTGTATCATGCAGCTAAGAATGGAAAGATTTCTGTTAAACCACATTTTGTCATCAGTTCAGTTTTCTCAAACATTTACACTTGTCTTTTGTTGTTCAGAATGTGAAAGCCCCAACTTTGGAGACAACTGCTCCAGCACCTGTGAGTGTCGAGGTAGAGGGACCTGTGACAATGTCCGGGGATGTGTCTGTGATGAGTCCTGGTCAGGAAGCAACTGTGAACAAGATGTGAATGAGTGTGCAGACCCTGACAGATGTGCTGATGGACTAGTCTGTGTCAATGAGCCCGGTTCTTTTAGCTGTGTCTGTCCAGATGGTTACTTGATGGTCAGTGGAGTTTGTACAGGTGAGATCATGTAATTAACACATTAGACTTTGTAACAACAGTGTATTTTCTGGTGAGATGATATAATTAATCTGTCGCATTAAATTATGTAACAGTGAATATTTTCAGGTGAGATTATGTAATGATTCTAACAATTTATACTAACAACATAACCAATTGTCTTAATCCTTGGTTTCAGACGTTGATGAATGTACAGACTATAAGAATCGCTGTGATCTGAATGTGGAAGATTGCTATAACAACATTGGCAACTACAGCTGTCAATGTAAGGAAGGCTACACAAGAAATCTGGCTACAGGGCTTTGTGAAGGTAAGACAGGGTGAGATAACACCAGACCTGTATAGTAAAAGTAAAATAAAGGACATTTTTTCATGGCTTCAGGCATATAGGGCTAGACTTTTTTTTAAAAGATCAATCAACACTTGGTAGGTAATGTGGTCAACATCACACCACCTGCCTTTACTTCCCAGGACAATACCTGGTACCACCTCAAAGCTAGGTCGACCTGGAAGCCAAATTCTATTTTTTTTTAAATTTCAACTAGTCAGGATCCAAACCTACGACCTTCTGATCTGTAGACGAGCTTCTAGCCATTACACAGTGGTGGTTTCCAAACCTATATAATGTGTGTGTTTTTTGTTTTACAAGAGTAGTTATAAAAGATATGGCTAGGTGTCAACAATAAATAAAGAAACATTAAAGACATAAATGATACTTCATTCCAACATGTCATGTGATGTAATATAATGAGCAGCATGTGTGCATTCTCACAGCTGAACTACATCTACCATGATTTCAGTTGTGTTTATCAAAGTATTATCAGCTTTATAATTCCGAGGTACCCAGCTGGATTCCAGTTGCAAGCGATTGAGCAGCAGACTGCATTGTATTTGTTTTGAGAGTGTAAAAAACTGACTTAAATTAAGCAGCAGCAACCTACTGAACAAAAAAAATGTATAGCACAAAAAGACAGCTCAACAATGCTGGGGTTGGTTCCACAATCTCCTGTACAGGATACACATCCTACTTTTTAATAAATGAAAGTGATGTCTGTTTTGTTTTCATGATTAACTCTGAATAATAATTAACCTGTAAACTAACAAGATAGCAGATGAATTACAACTGAGTTTATGATGTATAACTCAAAGTAACTTATGGCAGATTATTCTGTTATGCTCTATGTTCAGTCGGTCTGGTGTCATCTCCATAGCCCTCTAGCAGTTTCATTGTATCTGCAACACTCTCTTCTTGGATTTAATTTATCCACATTTTTTTAAATTGCCAAAGCCTTGAATTAGTGATTGTGTGAAACCATTTTATTCCTTTTATTTCATGCAGGCACTTGTGAAGTTTATTGGTAACAGTTTTAATCTAATCTATGTAACTGATTCATACAGTAGTGCTGATTTGACAACCGAGTTTCATTTCCAGAGTTTTTTACTGTGCTTAATTCTCTCAGGAGAACATTTTTTGGGCGTTTGGACAGCATTAATTTTGAGCTGAATTTATTTACCTCAACATGACAAAACAAAAACCTTCCTGAAGGAAAAGTACTGGCTCTATAGAAAAATAATATATCAAATTAAAGATAAATGAATGCAGAATAAATTGAAACTGTTAAAGTTTCAGTACTAAAAAAAAAACAAATTTATTAAAATCCCACAACATTCAAGGATCTTAGACTCATAGGAAGATTATTTACCTATAAAATGTTGTGCTTACCTTTCTTTTTACCTGTTTAAAACACTGCTATCTATTTCTAAGAATTCATTTGCCTCCTCTCTTCAGCTGTGCATCAGCAAATCTTTATTTGACACAATTGATTTAAATACTTTCGAATTTCTGATGATTTTTTGTACAACATGTCAAATTTCACAACCCAATTCCTGACACAGCTGATTGAAACAAGAATGGTCCAACTGAAATATTTTTTTCAACTTCATTTTAACCTATATTATTGGCAATAGGTTTGGCATGTGCATTATCAATCATAATATCAAGACTATTGTCACTATCTGGCTGAGATTTGTCAACAACAGAGTAGAAAGTAGAAAGTGACCCAAAACACCACGCCAAAATTTCATTTTGCTAATTCTGGTTCTTCAAAAAGTGTTCATACAAATTCATTTTCCCATCAAACGAAACAATATTAGTGTCTCCATGAAGAGCCATTATAGTGGTGAACGGTCTGAATGTGATAGATTCAAAAGCTACTAAAGTGGCATCCGGTCTGTAAAGAGTTAATTTCTTGTTGACTTCTACAAATTTCCTAGGGATAAAAAAAAGGCTCTGTCTTTTGTAAGTTTATTTTAGCATCTCTGTATGTTTCCCATTTCTGTCTATATTGCTGTTAAATATTGCATGATTTCACCACTTAAAACCCTCAGTGCAACATAGAGACATGAAAACACACAGAGAAAAGAATTACTGTTTTCTGAAGAGAATGAGACAGATGAATAATATGACATGGCATGGATAGAGTGGCAGGAAATAGCAAAAATAAAAATGGCTTGTGATAATTGTTGGAGTGTGGTCCTAGCTCCAATGGAGGATGAAGGGTATTTTTTTTTTTTTAAATACAACAAGCAACAAAGGGCATTCTGTGTGGTTTTTATTGGCACAGGAGTGGAACAACTATGGGAGTGATCAGTTTTCTGTGAAGTTGGAACTGTGATTACCTTATAGGGTAATAGAAGATAAAAGCACATTTATATTGTTGTCTTAACATATGTAGCAAAACATATATGTGAGAAGGAATCTATACTGAACAAAAATGTTCCCTTGATATCAGTTAGCATCTACACATTAAGACACCTGCTGCATGAGACGGAGCACTTAGAGGTATGCCTGATGTGCTGTGATATCAGTTCTTCAGTCAGTTCTTCTGATAAAATATGTGTTTGATTGTTCTGCCTGTTTACCTCTATGTAACTACTCCCATCAGTTGTGATCATTAACTCATTGATTTCATTGCCAGACATTGATGAGTGTGCCAGCCACAATGATGGCTGTGAGCATCTCTGTGAGAATGGGCCTGGCAGTTACAGATGTGTGTGTAATCAGGGATACAGACTGGCTGCTGACCAACACAAGTGTGACCAGTGTGAGTAACAACAATGCTGAAATCTGTGTACATGTTATAAATATCGTAGTGAAAAAGGGCAAAACTTTGGAGAAAGTATACAGCAGTCTTTTGTTGAGCATATATTGTTGGTTGGTTGATCGGTTCTTTAGAACACTTGAGTTTTGATGAGGCTTTGGTGTTTGAGCCCATCACAGCACAAAAAGGGCTTGCATCTTTTGGAGTGATATTGGTGTAGAGACCTTTTTCAATTCACTACCAGACTATAATATCCACAAGGATGGTGTTAGAGAGCTCTTCAAGCCCTCTCTAAGCAAAGAAACCAGTGGGGTGTCGATTGCCTCGCCCCAATATGGGACACACATATTTTTTTTAAAGCCTTAAAGCCACCACATCCTGGATGTTGGAAGCCCTAATATAACCTAATGGTTGAATAGGGATTCTGGGACTTGTGCCTGTGTGATTCTCATCTGAATGGTGGTAATTTGTGTCACCGCCTGTTTGTGGCTCGTTGTACTGTCCTGGTTGGGTTAAACGTCACTCACAACCAGTGGGGCTACAAGACCAGTTGTGAACTTCACGTCTGACAGAGCCATATGTTGAGATGTAGTCAGGTCTTGATTCAGCACAAGAGTACATGCGGACTGGGTGAGGTTGGGCCTATGTTTGGAATGTTTCCTCACTGGTTTAGATTTTTTTTTTGTCAGCAGGCTGCAGACTAATAAATACCATATGCTAATTTTGATTTGTTTGTATTACTTTTTCTTTTAGCTTTCTTCCTTCAAATCCCCCTTTTTTTTAAACAAGAAATAACAAAAAAAAAGATTTACTGTGTTCCCATGAATCCAGTTTGGGAGTTTGGTGAAGTCTGTGAACTCCTTGCCAGTTAGAAATTTCCTTCAGGTGCGGGTGAATTATAAGACTGCAGTTACTTGCAACTGCTAGCTGGATTTTGGTAGCTGTTCTAGTAGTAAGGACAGTAATTGTTCACTGACATTTATTTAGTAAATTTACATTCCAGAATTACCTAATGTATCCCAGTGTGTTATTAGTTTTATTTTTAATGATGTAGATAAAACAGTGTGTAACCTAAACTGCAGCCATGGATGTAGTCTTGCAGAGAATGGAACTGCATTCTGTATCTGTCCCCGTGGATACACAAGTATTGGCACAAATGCTTGTCAAGGTAACAAAGATCGTCATGTAAATCATTTGTTGGAACTCATAAATTTGAAATTACAACTGAACTGTTTTGTCATTTTTGTACAGTATTAGTAAACTGAAGATCTACAAGCTTAGTACTCAGCACAAGAAATAAAATGTAAAGCGTTTCTGTTAAGAAAGAAATAGATGCTGGTTAGATCCTGTTAGTTTTAGCAAAATGACCTTTGTTGCATGTACCCCATAAGTGCTTCAGTGTCTTCCCATTCATTTGTCTCGCGAGAACAACCTCAGCACAGAACACAATTATTGCAGTCTGTTAAGTCTCCTTTTTTGGGGATTTGGACTATTGTTCCTTTGCTCCAGTCATCAGGCAACACTTCTTTTTCCCAAATATCCTTGAACAATGGTTCTAGAATGCTAGCAGTTGTGTTGGGATCTACTTTGAGAAGTTCTGCTGGCAGTTCGTCTTTGCCTGGTGCTTTGTTGTTCTTTAACACTTTGAGTCCCAAGAAACGCATCATACGTTCATAGATTCCTACCTAGAGGCCCAATGAACGCACGATGCGCCGATTTTACGCCTCTCTTGACTACCCCTTGGGCCTGTGATGCTAAACCCCCTGGGACTCAAAAAGTTAAAGTGTGGATAGCTTTAAGGATTTCTTGTTTGCTTGGTGGTTCAGTAATAATGTCAATGTCCTGAGAGGCTGGTTGAATATCTGGGGGATTTTCAGGATCAGGTCTGTTCAAGAGGTCGGAGAAGTGTTTAGTCCATTGCATGTCTTGTTTTTGTTCTGTGGTGAGCAGTCTGCCTTGGTTATCTCTGATGGGTATGCTGTGATAATTGTTTCTGTTTCTGCAAATTTGCTGGGTAATTTTGTGTAGGATTTGTAGATCATGTGCTTTAGCAGCATTTTCTGCTGTTTCTGCAAGATTTTCCATAAATCTTCTCTTGTCAGCTCTGGCACTTTTCTTTGTCATTTTATTTAGTTTGCTATATTCTAACAGTAGTTTGTCTTTCTGAGGTTCTGATTTAGTGTGATTTATGAGGTTCTTTATTCTTTTCCGCTTGGCAATATAGTCCATGGTTTGACTACTTATCCATTCTTTGTGGTGTTGTTTCCTGGTCCCTAATATGTTATTACTAGTTGATTTGTATGTTTCTTTGATCCGGTTCCATCTGTCTTGAATGCTGATTGTAGTTGGAGTTTCTGGGTCACTTGATAGGGTTTGAAATCTATTCTTGAGTTCTACTATACATTTAGTGGCAATGTCTGTTTCTCTTAAAAGGTTAACATTGTAACGTGCTGTCTGTGTCTTAACTTGCATGTAAACTTTTTTGAGTTTAAGTCGTAGTAGAGCAACTACAAGGTGATGATAGCTTCCCACATCTGCTCCCCTTTTGACACACACATCGAGTAGGGACCCATGCCATTTTCTGTTTACCATGAAATGGTTGATCTGGTTTACATCTCTTCTGTTTGGGGATATCCATGTAAGCTTGTGTATATTCTTGTGGGGAAATAGTGTTCCTCCTATAACAAGTCTATTCACCGTGCAGAAGTGATATCCATGTAAGCTTGTGTATGTTCTTGTGAGGAAATAGTGTTCCTCCTATAACAAGTCTATTCGCCGTGCAGAAGTCGCTCAGTCTTTCCCCGTTGTCATTAATTGTACCACATCCTTGATTTCCCATAGATAGTTCTCTATTCATGTTGTTGTTACCAACTTTTGCATTGAGATCTCCCATAATGCATAGAATACCATGGTACTTTATCTACTACCTCTTGCAGTCTCCTAAAGAATGTTTCTTTATCTTCATCTTCAGCTTTATTAGTCGGTGAGAAGCATTGGATGACTGTAAGTTTGGCATGTTTGCCACTGAATCGTGCTGTCATTATTCTTTCATTGATTGGATGCCACTCGATGAGATGTTTGTGTATACCTTTCTTTAAAATAAGTGCCACGCCTGCAGAATGTAGGTTATCATCTCTTCCAGAGTATATTATGGTTTCTCCTGTACCTGTTGTGGATTGTCCCAACCCTCTCCACCTGCTTTCACTAATTCCAAGAATAGGCAGTTTATAGCTCTGCATTTCTTTAATTACTTGGGTGATTTTGGCCGTTTCAAACATGGTTCGTACATTCCAGAAGCAATTCTTAATTTGATTTTGACATCCAGCAGACTTGTTTTCCCATCATGGGCTTCCTTTCAGCTTTCACCCATGTTGTTCATGCTGACAGAGGGACTCTGTTCCAAGACCACTGTACGTTTAGAGCACTTATTTCTTCTTGAAGTTTCAGTAACATTGTAGATTTTTTACAGGGCAGAGCTGTCAACACTGCGCCCAACCCCCGAGCCTGGAGGACCAGGAGGCCATCTTTAGTCTGGCCCCTCACCAATGACCTGTCCGGCTTGGGTAACCCTGCCAGGAACATACGTTCCCACCGGCATAGCTCATTAGATCATTGAGGCTCTCAAGCTCCCCCACCACTACAAGGTAATGGCCTCTGGGGGGAATATATATATAGTCAGATACATTTGATTTTACCAGTGCCTTTGATGGAATATGTTGTGGATATCATGATTCACTTCCAAGATTGTATTCTTGTGTAAACTTCCACGGAGCAGATACCCTTACCAAGCTCATGTCATGCTCTTTGTAGATTGTTCACTATTGGTTGGTTTTTGTTTTTCCACAATAGGAGATATCCAGTCCCATGCTAGATGCATCTTTTGACATGCATGGTAGGTTAGTGTTACTTTTTTTTTCCAGTAACATAATTGGTGGATGATTGTCCTGGCATTTATTGCATGTGGCCACATCAACCCAAGAAACCAGTGTGAAAACAAATCCTGCTTTATGGAAGATTGAAACTCATGACACAATTATAGGATTTAGTGCTCTTGCTTACCAAGACATTAGTCTAGTTTCAGTTACCGGTAGTTTCCATTCCTAGAAGTGGCAGTGTTCATTCTTTCTGACTAGTCCTGCTTTGGTGTTAATCCAGCCTTGTAAGATGGGTTCTGGAACTGTTTGCACTAGAGTATGTTACTGTATAATACAACATATCCAGCTGTCAATCAGTGGGACTGTCTTTGTTTATATGTTTATAAACTGACATGTTGTATTTGATGTTGCAGACATAAATAAGTGTCTGTCACAAGAAGAAAATCAGTGTGATCACAAAGACAGATGTACAAACACAGACGGAGGCTACACTTGTTCCTGTCAACCTGGCTACAGGCTGGAGAATGATGGCAGGAAGTGTTCAGGTGAATATCAAATCTCTCTTGTTGTCTCTTGTAGGCTTCTTTTAGCTCAACGTGTTCTAAAAAAATTGACACTCATGACGAATCTTTTAGTGTACACATATAGTTCACACCTAGTTTTAGCAGGCAAAAATAGTAACAACTGTGTGTGTTATACACATGATTTTACTATATCTATTTCCATAGTTTTCAGAGCTGGGTATAAGTATATAATGTGTGTTAATAAAAGTGAAAGTACAAATGTATAGTAAAGGCAAAATTTAACAAAAAAGATCTGCAGACATTATTACACCATGTGCCCTTGGATATATTGACTCCAAATACTTTCCCTGACTTGAAATGTTATGTAGATCATTGATGTTGAGAAAATCAATGAGAAATTATATGTAGGCTGCAGAGATGTGGTTTTACAGAAGAATGATAACACCACTGATTAATTTTAAAAATAATGAAGACTTGAAAGCAACTAGCTCTTGGAGATAGCTAGCTGCTTGTGTCATAATAGCCCCCCCCCCCCCCTTCCCCAATCAAAATGGATACATTATGACAACAGGAATGTTGTAGGAAAATAAAACAACCAGCAGAAGTTTACAGCTGGGAAGTGTTGAACAGAAGAAGGTTAACAATAGACAAGACAAGAAACAGTGAGCCTACATGATGACCAAGACTATATCCCAGAAACTATAATGTCTGTTTTTGATTGTTGCAGTATTTAGCTGTGTTCTGTTTTGTCTCTGGTGTTTACAGGTTTTCTTTCCTCCTTCTGAACTCTTTAGGTTTCAAGCCTTTTTTTTTTAAATAACACTTAATATTACAGAATCTTATGAGTTAAAATATTAGAGCTATTGCAAAGAAGTTAAAGCAACAACTGGAAAAGACTGGAGTATAATAACAGAAGAATGGATTAGAGAAGTTCAGAAATGTATATGGTAAATATAATAACATTAAGCATATGGTGGGCTGCTTGGTACCAAGATAGTTACACACTGGCACTGTTATAAATGTATGGCCTGGGTCCCTACAGAAAACTCTTGCAGTTCTGCTTTGAATGTTCATAGTCAAAAGTTACTGTAAGTGGTTTACAGTGTCTTGATGCCAAAAATATAACCAGAGTTACTGTAGTGATTTAACATGTTACAGCAGTGTTGCCCTAACCCTTTTTTTTTTGGGTGCCGTGCCCCATCAAAGCCTTTCTAAAATTGTTATGCCCCCCCCCCCTTCCCCACCATGTAACTTAAACTCTGGATAAGTTCATTTTTGAATTTCTCCCCTTAACAGTCAAATTCTCCCCAATGGAAAGTGCAACCCCCTATCACGAATTGCCAAGTGAATATATGCTTTTATGATGAGTAGAAGCTTTCCTCTCAACACTTCACCTCCATCAGAGCAACTGAACTAATATCCAAGCTATGTTGATCTCAGGCAAAGTCCTGGACATCCAAGAAAACAGCCATATTGGCTCATTATGTAAATTAACAGCAACTACACTTGATAGCTACAGGAGAAGGAAAAGGGTTCTAGAAGTCTATTTTGTTATAATAATGATTTTTTAGACAGGGCAGGTGACCCCTTCCGACTATCTGCTCTTGGTAAAGAATTATTAATGAGCTCCCACCAAATGCTATTCTATCTTAACAGTTTAGTTAAACATGACATTTATACGATAGGTTATTAAACAGTGATGGTATGGTGGTAATAAGATTCTTCAGCTAGAGCACTGAGCACCAAAATTAGAGTGAAGTTATAAAGGTGGTGATAAGTTTACAAACACAAATACGGCACGTAACTTTGAATTTTATAAAGTGGAACCTCAGAGCGCCCTCTTTTTTAAGCCCTTCTTAGCTTTTCCTAGTAGTTCCAGCTTTTCCACCTCTTCCCAGCTTGTTCTCTGCCAGTTCCTGTCTCATGCCTGCCTCGTTTCCAGGTTGCCGATCTCCTATACAATGTAGGTTTGTGCACGTGGACTCTCTGTTTCTGTTATCAGAACTGACTGGTCTTTACCCCGATGGGAGCTGGGAACATTCCACCAAATTGCCAAACAAGACTCAAACAGCTAGAATTACTTTATACTGTTGATCTGAGTTTGTGGCTTGCTGGCAGCACTATGAAGTAAAATCAAGATGCCTTGCAGTATAATAGCAAAGTTAACTCCTCCCCTTTCTAGTCTCTAACCTGTCCTACAGGAGAAGATCTAAGCCATGCTTCTGAAGTACATTGCAGATCAAATAAGCTATCAATGTGCCTGTCAGTCAATTCCTGACTGCCCCTACTCTGATCAAAGATTCTTAAGTGGTAAACGTTTATTCCCAGACGGTGTCACTGACCGGTGTGAAAGTCGATCCAGGGGACGCCATCGTGTCTAGAGTTTCCTACTTGACCAGGTTAACTTCCCTAATCTGGCCTGTTCAAAGGGCCCAGTCTAGCCGGTTATGTAACATTTATGACTTTCTGTCTTTGGCTTTCACCAGGTAGAAAGATTATCTAGATTAGGTTATGTTATGTAATATTAAACAAAGCTTGGTTGCTTTGTCTGGGCTAAGAACTGGAAACAATGTTAAATCCCACATGGTTTAAGTATTATTTGGGCTTAGGGCATAGTAAATATAATTCTTTGTCTCTCTATGAACATTATAAATTATTAAACGTAATAACTTCTGAAAACACTGAGGTCATTTCATCACACCCAAGTTGGGAAAACACTGTTACAATGTTTCTACAAGCATAACTATTTTCCTTGCAACTGCACGTATATTCTCATTCCATTCAACCAGCCTGCAGTGGTGGAACCTGGGGCGTACAGTGTAACAGAAGCTGTTCTTGTGGGAAGGGAGCTATTCGTTGTGACCCAGTGACGGGATGTATCTGTAAACCTGGATACACAGGTAAGGGAGCAGATCCAAACAACACCTACCAGTAAATATACATCTCTACAGAATCCAACTACATCTCATTCTGCAGTGCTGTATTGCTCACTTCTGTATACAAGATTCTTCAGTGTCACCTCTTTGAATGTTTAAAACTTTATAAACTAGAACATCCTTCATCTTGTCAATCTTTCATTGCCAGGGGTTAGTTTCTTACAAGAATCTTCATTTTCACACTGTAGCAACAATAGTAACAGTTATCCTAACACTGTCACTGCCACGAAGGAAAATGATGGCAAACAACCTTCTTAAAGATGCCAAAATAAACCATGATTCGACAAAAAGGAGTAAACTTCAGAACTTGGTGTAACATGGAATAATAATGAAAATTGGGCAGTGGGAAGGCAAAAAAATTAAAAGATAAATATCTCGATTTTTTTTTGGGGTCTTTTAAAGGGGGTGGCTCAAGAACACTGATCTGATCATGTTTCTGGACTAAGAGGGTGTACTGACTTTATATATTTACAATTTCTTTCCCAAATAGGGTTCGTATTTCCAGTATCTCTTCTTCCTAATGTTCCCAGGCTGTAAAACTCTGGTAGAAATTTATGGTTGTTCATCCACTTCTTGTTCCAAAACACAACCTGTATGCACATCCATTTTGCAGATTTCATCATCATGTGCCTTGCCAACTGAGGTGCCTTTCCACAGTCTGCTATCCACAACTGCATGTATCAGTTCATATATTGACACCCTCCATGCCATGACACAAGGCTGCCAAGAATGTTTTCATTCCACAGATCTTTCCAGTGGTCACAACATGGTTTTTTCCTTCTTTCACAACATGACACTCCCCCCCCCCCCCCCCCCCCCTTCCAAATGATGAATGTCGCTGATGTTTGTGATAAGTTTCTTGAAGCACTCACCTCTTTCGAAACATCTGGTTGCACTTTTGTAGCTGTCCAAGGAATTCTAAGGATTCTTTTGTAAAATTACAGATCTAGCTTCTTAAAAAGCAGAATGTTGGTTCCTTGCCTCTCAAACAGATGAACTCCGAGTCTGAGGGAAACCCTCCTAGTTAGACTACTTTTCCTACATGCTTGTTCAGGAAGTCTTCTCGCCTCTCAAACAGATGAAATCAGAGTCGGAGGGAAACACTCCTAATTTGTCTATTTTTTCCTACATGTTTGCTCAGGGAGCAGGAAGTCTTTTTTTTCTTTAAAAAATGGGGCCCTTGAAGCCACACAGAGATTCCAGTACCAACACTTCAGCCACACTATATAAGTAATGACCTGCACTCTGCAAAAAGAACACTCCATGGCTTACTGTTCAAATGGTCAATAATTGGCAGTGGTGTTCTTCTAGAGTGGGGTCCCATATCGCTCTCCAAGTTGACATTGGAAAGCAAAAGCATGAATTATGAATTCATAACATGACCCTATTTTCTCCGGACACTCTGTCTCTCGATTTCTTCTTCTTCTTCTTCTTTGCATTCACCAGCTACAAACTCCAGCCGAAAGTTCTGGTTGTTCGTCCACTTCTGGACTGCAGTCCTGTTCCAGAACCTGAGTGTTGCGTGTGCATCCATTTTACAGATCAGACTCATTTGTTTGCAGACTGCTGGTTCCTTGCCTCTCAGGGAGATGCCCTCCTACTTCAAAGGAAGCTCCCAATTATTCAACTCCTATGACATGCTTTTAAGTAAGCAGTAGGTTTATTTTTGTTGTCCCTATAATAAGGCCCCGGAACCCACACTGGGGAAAAGGGCTATTTTGAGAACACACCCCAAAAAAATAAATGTCTTATTCACCGACATATACTGTATATAAATTTGTCTGACAGCCCAATAAACAGGCCCACAACTTGAGTGGACAGTAAGAGGGTTGGCCATCTGTTTTAATAAACCTCCATGGTCTTACACGACAGCCACAAGCATCAAGGCTGATGTGCCTTCGAGGGAGGATGTCTCTCGATATATTCGCACAAGTGGCACACAACACAGTTTAATTACCTTTTGTGTACTTTCTGTTCAGGAGAACACTGCACTGATGTCATTGACAGATGTGCTAACGGAGAACTGACATGTCAAACAAATGAAGAATGTGTCATTGCTGGCGGCAGCTCTGTCTGTCAGTGTCGCAAGGGATTTGTCTGGGTCAGTGGACTGTGTCAAGGTAAACAAGGCTGTTTTATTTCATATTTTCCGCGGAAATGTGAGAGAAATGTACATTGCTAACTTGCTTCAATTGAGTTTGTTGCAGGGTTTTTAGTCAAGGCTTGAATAATTCTTGATATATCTAGTCTTATTGCTGCACATTAAAATTGTTCTTTGCAAATGTGTTTTCTCCTTGCCTGCCACCTCATCAATAGAGATTTACATTTTGTTAATATTCAGGTTTAAAACAACAGCCAGTTGTGGCAACTTGATGATGTTAGCTCTGTGTGTCTGAATGTTACCCATTCTATAATGGTGTTCTGTTTCCAGCCTCTATTTTACAAGATTTTATTCCAGTACATTTAGCTGAGGCAAGAAACAGCAACTACAGTCTGGGAGTTTGGGTTGCTTTCTTGATGACATTTTAATAGAGTTTAGACCGTCAACCAACCAGTGCCAAGCCTTTTGTAAACTTGTTCATGATTTGTTGGATTTTGCAGTTAAAGATTCATACACAATGAAAATGGACCATTTCATTGAAATAAACAAAAACAGTTCAATACAAAAATTCTGGAGTGACTGGGAATTAAACAAGAGTTGCTGATCTTTATTCTTTATTCACTGTGTAGTTAATTCATTGTTAGTATGCCTAGTTATGTTTGGCTAGGTTCATTCATTATCCTCTTGTGCCATTGTATGTCATATAGGGCTTGCAGTCCATTCCACCATTCTTCTCTATCCTGTGCAATCAGTTAAATATTATGGATAGAATCCAGTCCAGCACATTTGGCTTCTCTCATCAACATTCGTCTTAGGGTTTCTTGTGGGCGTCCTCACCTCCTTAATCCATTTATTTCCTATTTTGATGCCTGTATGGTGATTCTCTGCTGGTTTTTTCTCAGGATGTGTCAAATATAGCACCATCTTCTCTGTCTTAGAACTATTGATACTAGTGGTTGCCGAGATGACTTCTTTAGTTCATCCCATTTAACTTTCATAATTTTCCTCAGACATTTTATTTTTGAATGCTTTTAATGTTTGTTCCATGTCTATATTGGTTCTCCAGCTTTCACTTACATATGTTAAAAGTGAAACAACATTAGAATTGAAAATACATAACTTGGTTTTAAAACTTATACAATTTAGAGTTCCATTTTTTGTTCAAGCTGTTAAAAGCTGCTGATGCCTTGCCAATATGTGTCATAATTTATTTCTTTGTATTTCCTTCATTATCAAAATCGCTACCTAAATAAATAAATTGATCCGTTACTTAAATTACTTTTGCAGCTAGGGTTATATCTGTTTGATCTGTTGTTGGTGTCTTTTTTTAAATTGTATATATATATATATATATATATATATATATATATATATATATATATATATATATATATATATATATATATATATATATATATATATATATATAAATTTAACATATTATCAAAGTTACTTATACTTATTTATTTTTTATGAGTCCACTTCTTATATAAATTATTTGTTGTTGACATTCTTATTTTATTAAACATTCCGACAATTATTTGTTGTCATGTTAAACGGTCATTTGTCACTATGTTTGTTGAAAGAATTTAACTTTTTTTTTTTTAAATTGTTCTCAGATGTGAATGAATGTCTGAACAGAAGACTTCACAACTGTTCCCAAGTCTGCAGCAACACCCAAGGGGGCTTTACTTGTTCCTGTTACAGTGGCTACGTCTACAACTCTTCCAGCAATACTTGTACAGGTATGTCCTGCTAATGAATAAAGTACCGTTAATGTGCAATTATTCCACCAGTACTTGTACAGATAAGTTTTCTTATTTTGTCAGTACTATTTTCATCAGTACGTTACTGCACCAGGTATGTTCTATGTGTCAAGTATTGTTGTACGTCTCTTCCACCAACCTTGCAGAGTTATGCTCTGTTAATGTGCACAGCTCAACACTCAAAAGAAAGGTAAAAAGACATACAGTCAGACTTCTACTGTTACCGTCAGAATAGAAACTGCTCTGGCTGCTAAAAATGGGTACAGTGTGTTTATAGTAATGTCCCTAGTGCTGTGATGGGAGCTCAAGTATGTAAAGTACCTTGCTGAAATTTGTATTGAGAAGTTACAGTAACAGAAGGGATTGTATAATTGTTTCAGCAGTCTTCTTCTTCTTTGTTTACCAGCTGTGAGCTCCAGCAAAAAGTCCTGGTTGTTCTTCCTTTTGGACAGTGGTTTTGTGCTTGGGCCTGAGTTTTGCGTGTAGTGCGTTTTAATGGCTTATTTGTGTGCCGTCAATTGTTTCTGGCTACTCAGGCAGATGCACTCCAACTTCTAAGGAAGTTTTAGGTTATTTGACTCTTATGACATACTTGTGTGTGTGTGTATGTAGGCAGTGGGTCTGTTACTGTTTTCCCCACAATAGGTCCCTAGAACCAACACTGGGAGCTTATCAGTTATTTACTGAGTGTTGTTCAGTCAATAAATATGAACTGCTACATATTATTTTGTTTAGTTATTTAAAAAAAGTGAACTGAGATCTAAACATTTGCCCGCAGATATAAATGAATGCCAGCAAGGAAACCCCTGCAACCAGACTTGCATCAACACAGATGGCAGCTACAGGTGCTCTTGTCATCCAGGGCAGTTTCTTCAAGCTGATGGAGTTAGTTGTGGGGGTAAGTCAGGACAGTCTTTTCAAGCTGATGGAGTTAGTTGTGGGGGTAAGTCAGGACAGTCTCTTCAAGCTGTTGGAGTTAGTTGTGAGGGTAAGTCAGGAAGTCTCTTCAAGCTGTTGGAGTAAGTTGTGGACGTAAGTCAGGACAGTCTCTTCAAGCTGTTGGAGTTAGTTGTGGGGGTAAGTCAGGACAGTCTCTTCAAGATGTTGGAGTTAGTTGTGGAGGTAAGTCAGGACAGTCTCTTCAAGCTGATGGAGTTAGGTTAGTTGGGGAGTGGGGGGGAGGGGGGTAAGTCAGGACAGTCTCTTAAAGTTGATGGAGTTAGTTGTGGGGGTAAGTCAGGACAGTCTTTTCAAGCTGATGGTTAGTTGTGAGGGGTAAGTCAGGACTGTCTTTTTAAGCTTATGGTTAGTTGTGAGGGGTAAGTCAGGACTGTCTCTTCAAGTTGATGGTTAGTTGTGGGGGTAAGTCAGGACAGTCTCTTCAAGCTGATGGAGTTAGTTGTGGGGGTAAGTCAGGACTGTCTTTTTAAGCTTATGGTTAGTTGTGAGGGGTAAGTCAGGACTGTCTCTTCAAGCTGATGGTTAGTTGTGAGGGGTAAGTCAGGACAGTCTCTTCAAGCCGATGGAGTTAGTTTTGTAAGTTAAGACAGTTTCTTTAAGCTGATGAAGTCACTAGCTTACCATTATCAATGTATATAATGCCTGTTGTAATAGGTCGATCCTTCTTTTGCATCTGTCTGTGAAGTTTCCAGAATCTTCACAGTGATTTATCCCCTCTAATTTTGCTTAAAAAATTTTCTTATTTAGCCTTTTTGGCAACTGTTGCACACTGCTTGAACTCTTCTACTTTTTCTTTTCTCTTTCTAGCTTCTTGACATCCTCTTGTAACCCGTGAGGTATCATTTGCACTTCCTCATATTACTTAAATGCTGCTCACTTTACTCTCCATGCCTGTTCTACTTCTTGGGTCACCATGGAGGCTGCACAAAAGCAGAGGTGGTGGTTGTCACCAACCAACGTGGATATACACTTATATAGTGAGTGTTTCGGTTTAAATCCTAGCGAGCGCTTCAATTGTCAGTTTTTTATTCCAATACAGCATACTCACATAAAAACTGGACTAATATCTGAGCTATGTTGATCTCAGACACAGTCCTGGATAACCAAGAAAACTGCCAAATTGGCTCGTACAATAAAATAAAAATAGCTGTACTTGTATTCACAGGAGTCGGAAAAATGATAGATAAAAATCAAGATGAATCCAGTGAGATAATATCAAGATACACAGTTAATCCCTCCGACTTTCTCCTCTCGGGTATTAATATTTTACAAAAGCTCCAATCAAGTGATTTACATATTTGTGAGCTCAGGTAAACTAGTATGCACAAAGACACTTGAACTTAAGCACACAATTTACTCAACTATCTCATAATAACATAAACAAGATTTTATTGAATAAATCTAACCAAAAAATGGAGGGTATTGATCTTGAGATAATAAAGGATAGTGATGGTAATGGGTTAGTCAATTAGATCAATACATGCTTAGGCTAGTGGAGTGAAGATGGTGTTATGATGGTGATAACATAACTTAAAACAAATGGAGAAAATAAACCACGGGCAGTTTTCAATTTGAGACCCTGCCTCTCTTTTTCTAGTTTGTCGTCCTTGCTACTTCAAGCAGGTCATTACACTCAGACTGTCTGCAAAGAATAGATGCTGACTAGTCCCTGCCCAGTGTGGGAACTGTGATAAAGAAACAAGCACATATGTGTAGTATCTAGACTTACATCAAACATGCCTATTCTAATAACATCATTTCATCTCTCCCCTTCATATTCTCATTCTTTCCTGTCCAGTCAGGAAGGACTCACATTGTAGTTGTTACATTTCCTGCCTTCCTCTACTCATGTCCTGTAATTATAAAGTCCTCTAAGTCTGATGTCTCTCATTCAGACATAAAATTGACATTCAGTTTGACAGAACAAGTTCTGGAATTAACACCTGAAATAATGTATGTGCCCAGAATGATGACAATATTTCCGAAGCAACATCAAATATAAATTCTCAGGGTTTCACTCTCTATGGTCAGTCTTAAAAAATACATTTCAGTGTATTAGCTGAATATAAGGTTATCAAAATAATCACACATGAAGAGCCTGCCAAAATATCTTCATGCTTGTGATCTCAGAAAAATAATAGTAAAAAGTTAAATTTAAATATCAATATCAATATTCACGTTATACAACATTGAAAAACATTACATGTACACTGAAAACATACATCAATTACGATACAGTGTAATTTAACAGTGCCCTACGAGAATGGAGAAATTTCCGCTAAGGAGTACTGTAAAGTAATAAGTGCACACACTTGAGCAAAGAGAATATTGAGATTTATATCATTAAATAAAGGTTGAAAATAGTTTCGCTTACCTGGAAAATGAAAACACAATGCCACCAAGTTCTGTTTCACGCTTAGGGTTTAAGCTTGACAGATAGTGTGCTGATGGCATGTGCAGATAGTAGTATCACTTTCCAGCCCTCCTCTCCTCCACCCAAAACTACTCTCTTTCAAGGGATGTCAAAGCCTCTCCTCATGGGTAAGTCCAGTCACTGTCAGTCAGGACAGCACAACACTTGTTTGCCTTTCCCATGATTACATTCTCATAGTCCATCAAGCTGGCCCTCGCTTTGCATGGTTATAAAAGAGTCCCACCTTTCTTTCTCCTCAGGTCTGCCAAATACTCTGACACCTGGTTCAGGTCGCCTGCTAACATCTCCATCGGACAGGTGTAATTTACCTACACTTAAGTGGGGTAATCTCAGGGGGAGATAGTCACTTTATCAGAGTTGCCTGCCCCTGAGGGTTGGCCTCAAAGATAATTATCTGACACCTCAAGTTAGGTGGTCAGTACATTCCATTGAACAAGTGCCACACAGTCTACCTGCTCAGTGCCACATAGTCTACCTGCTCAGTCTTAT